ATCCTGACTGCTCGATGGCCCGGAGCTGGGCCTGGTGTCGAAGAGCGTCCGCCTCGAATGTTTCCGCCTGGGCCATGGCCTGATCCTCCAGGGCCTTGGCGCGGGTGGCCAGCTCCTCCGCTGAAGCGGTTGCTCTGCGCCAGGGTGTCTGGTCCTCAGTGCTCCACTTGTGGAAGTCGCCAGGTTCCCTGGAAAAGTCCGCGGGGAACACGGTGGCCGACTTCTGCTTGGCTGGCGTTGTTGGAGGCTCGACCGGCTGCAGCTAGTGCAGTGCTGCCCCATTACGCGGAGACCGTCTCGAAGGTGGCCTCTGCTCCCTCCAGCGCGGCAGTGGCCTCCTCCAGCGTCGCCGTGTCGTGGATGCGCTGGATTGCTCGCTCATGTTGATCCGTCGCTCGTTCGACTGCCTGGTGTGCCTTGCCGAGGGCGGCCGCTGCCAAGCGCCGCTCCTCCTGCTTCTCCAACGGCTGGCTGGGCGGCCGGTGCCGCTGGCGCGGCCAGCTGTGACCGCATGAGTTCGCAGGCGCTGCGCTCGGTCCTCCGTGTGCAGCTTGGCGCAGGCCAGCGTGAGGGTGGCGACGTCATTCACGTTCCCGCCGCCACCTCGTCTTCCTCCGCCTGCTTCTCGCCAGGGGGAGGCAGCGTCGTCCTCCTCGGCCTGGAGGCGGTGGTCCTGCCTGCTGGTGATGGTGCGGGCGCCATGCTGCTACTGACTATGCCCTCTGCAAGGGCAGACTTCGAGGAGAGATGCAATCTGGCCCCAGATCAGGGGCATCCGAGGGAAGAGGAGCCAGGAGGGAAAGGAATGATGGAGGAGGGGGAGGGAGGAGGGAGGAGGGAGGAGGGAGGCGGAGGAGGGGGGGGCAACAAGCTAGGTGCGCTCGCCTCATAATTATCTGACGTCCGACCCCCCCCCCTCCCATCCCTACGTCCTACCCCTCCCTCCCATCCCTTACGATGGCGTAGGTCTCCTCTCTATTCGCACAGCGCTCTCGTAGCAATGCGTAGCGTTACATGGCTCAGCATGGTTTTGAAGATCAACTCGTAGCCTGACATAGCATGGCGTGGCGACGCCCCAAAGTGGGGGGGCTTCTGCGGCCCGAAAAATCAACGAATCGACACCGAATCTGGAATCACGTCCGATGGTTATTTCGGGGGGGGGGCATTTTTTAAATCGTGGGGCCTATTTGGAAGGACCGAAAACCATGCCGTGGCATGGCGCTGGAACTAATGACGCCAGCGCTGCAGCGGGTGCACGATTCAGAACAAGCGGAAGCCCAGAAATGAGGCTAGCGCTGCAGCGGGAACGCGATTCGGAGGACGCGTAGCCTGACATAGCATGGCGTGGCGACGCCCCAAAGCTTCTGCGACCAGAAATCAACGAATCGACACCGAATCTGGAATCACGTCCGATGGTTGTTTCGGGGGGGGCATGTTTTAGATCGTGGGGCCTATTTGGAAGGACCGAGAACCATGCCGTGGCACGGCGCTGGAAATAATGACGCCAGCGCTGCAGCGGGAACGCGGATCGGAACGAGCGGAAACGCGGAAAGGCCAGCGCTGCAGCTGGAGCGCGATTCGGAACGAGCGGTGGCCCGAAAATGACGCTAGCACTTCAGCGAGAGCAGCAGTTTCGCACCACATCCCAAGCGAAAACCCGTCTCCCGGGAATCCTGTGTGTATAAAGCCAGTGCACGGAGGGGGGCCGAACATTTCCAAGCGTCACCAGGGGAGAGAGGAGAGTAGTATTCATATTCTGTAATTGTGATTTGAGGAGGGAGGAGGAAGAGGAGGAGGAGGAGGAGAACGAGGAGGAGGAGGAGGAGGAGGAGGGAGAAAAGCAGGAGGAGGAGGAATATTGCGAGAAGGAGGAGGAGGAGGAGGAGGAGGAGGAGGAGGAGAGAGGGGGAGAGGAGGAGGAGGAGGAGCTGGAGGAGCTGGAGGAGAAGGAGGACGTTGAGGAGGAGGAGGAGGAGGAGGGAGGAGGAGGAGGGAGGAAGAGGGAGGAGGAGAGGACGAGGGGAGGAGGAGGAGGAGGAGGAGGGAGGAAGGAGGAGGAGGAGGAGAGGAGGAGGAGGAGGAGGAGGAGGAGGGAGGAGGAGGAGGAGGAGGAGGAGGAGGAGGGCCCTCGACCGTGCGACCGTGCTCCACGTGCCCGCTCCGACCCGCCCCGGGCCTGCTCCGCGGTGGAGCCTCCGGGGCCGCGCCGGCGAGCGTGGCGGCGCCCCCCCGCACAGCCCGAGCGGTCAGCCAAAGGGCGCGGCCAGCGAGCGGCGCAGCGAGGTGCGCCTTCAGGGCGGCGAGCGTATGAATTTAATTTCTTGGCGAAAAAGAAAGGAGCGCCATGGACAGAAAACTTGCTTGGCGCTCCGCGCGGCTTTCGTGGATCCGCGCTGGGGCACCGCCGGCGGCGCCACCAGCGCCGCCCCTGGCGCGCTCCGCGCGCCAGGGAGGGGGCTCCAACGCAGATCCAGGAGATCCGCGCGGAGCACCAAAAGTTTATGGTCATGGCGGCTTCCCCTCCAGAGCTCCGCCTCTCGACCTCAGGCGGATCGCGGCCTTTAGCCCCGTGGGGCTTGGGCCGCTCAGGCCGCCCTACATCTCCTCCTATTCCTTCTCCTCCTCCTCGGCACCTTTTTCCGTGGCACAATTTCGTTCCGGATTTCGAGGTGAATTTCGTGCGGATATTTTGTGACCAGGGATGAAGACCAAACAGAAACCACGCGAAAATCACTTCGTTTTTCGCTCTCCGCTTCGGGCAAACATCCAATCAAACATCCACGCAGAAATCCGCTGCAGCACGTCTGCAAAGCTGGTACAACGAGGCCTTTTGGGAGGATCTCTCTCTCTCTCTCTCTCTCTAAAATTGCCTCTGGCCCATCCTGCCGCAGTGCCTGGGTGCTGATTCAGAGTCCTCACCCAGACATGGCTGTCCTGTCGGGTCTCCTCGGAGAGCTCTGGGTGGTTCCTGGGGAGAACTTTTGGTTGGAGATCTTGGGGTCGTCCTGGAGCCTTTCGTGGGCCTCCCGGGACTGCCAGTCACCGGAGATCTTGGCACGCGTCTGGCCCGTTGGGCTAGCCGACATGGTTTTTTTTGTGCTAGATGTTGGTGTGTCTGAGGCGAGGGGGAAGGAGCAGGAGCAGGAGCAGGAGCAGGGGAGGTGGGGGATGAAGAAGGGAGGATGAGGATGATCAGGAGGAAAAACAACACACAGACACAATTAATCGTCGACTCCCAGGAAGAATGCAAAAATATGGGAATTTGGGGGGAGACAAAAACCCTAAAATTATTGGATAATATGGGAAATCCTTTTATTTGTGTGTATTTATATGTGTGTCTCAGGGCCCCTTCAGATGAGGAGGCGGCCTCTCGATATCGTCTTGGGGGCATTTGGGAGCCAACCTTGGTCGTGGACAAGACGCCTGTTGCCTCCTGATGGCTGCGAGGGGGCACTTTGGAGCAAGTCTTGACCGTGGACAAGACTCCTCTTTGGTAGGCTTCTCGCGGTATCTTGGGGGGTCTCTCCGGGACCTCTTGGCGGTATTGCTGGGACCTCCGGGGGCCTCACGTGGGCCTCTTGGGGACCACTGGCGGCCTGTTAGGGGCACCTTGGGGCCTCGCTGGGTATCTTGGGGGCTTCGGGCAAAGAGCTCGAAGTGGCCGCTCGGGTCCCCCGCCTGGTTCCTCCCTTGGAGCCGTCTTGGTGGCCTTCCGGGCCGTCTTCGAGGCCTCTTGGGTAGCCTCGAGGATCTCTGGGGCTGTTTCGGGGCCGTGTGGGGGTCTCTTGGGGATCCTTGGGCCGTCTTGGAGCGGTCTTGGGGTTGCTCTGGGGCCGCGGTGGAGCGTCGGGAAGCTGAGAGGGCGGAGACGCGAACATCCTCCAAAAACCAATGGAAAGTAAATACATTCTGCCTCTTGGGACTCTTTGGGGGGGGGCCTGTTGGAGGCCTCTCGGAGGCCTAGCTGGGCGTCTTGGAGGCCTCGCAGGCCGTCTGGAGGCTTTCTGGGGCGTCTGGGGGCGATCTGGTGGCGTATCGGAGCAATCTTGGACCATCTCGATGGCTTCTTGGGGTCTCTCTCCGGGAGGCTCTGGGAGGCCCCGAGGGCGGCGGCCCGATGTTTGCAGTGTTGTCGTTGGTATCGGGGCGCAGCGGATGCGATTCGATTTCGACTCGGTGTCGATGCGGCCCGATCCGACGCGTGTTTCGATTCGAATCGTTTGCCCAGCTCATGTTGATTAATTCTGCCCCTCCTCGCCACCACCTCCCCGCCGTGGTCCATGCCCTGGCAACGTCACCCACCTTCTGTAAGGGACTTGAGGAAGGGCACGCATCCAAGCGTCAGTGCCCAAGGGGCCGGAGAGTGTTCGGAGTGTGCAGGTCGCCTGCAGCGCAGTCAAGCCAAGACAATCGAGCGTGATGCCAGCATTGGTGGATGGCAGCTGCAGTCGATGCGTGGAGGTGGCGATTCGGCCCAGGCTGGGGCGAGACCTCCTCTGGGCTCAGGGAGGGGCTCTGGTCTTCCGGGCTGCGCCCCAGAGGCAGGTCGGGGCACCCTGCTCGTGGCGGAGGCTCGCGGTGGCCAGGAACCGACGCGTCACTTCGTCTGCGCTCCCTGTTCAGAGGGGTGTTGCAAGAGCTTCGGCACCGCCTGTACTCCGCACCCTCCGGCCGACTGAGGCCCCGCCCGCCCGCGCCCTGTCTCCCCAATCAATGCTTCGCGCGCCCCGCCTAGCTCTTAACCGGAAGGGGCCCGCTCCCGACCCGCCGACCCAAGAAACTGTTCAAGGGGGGGAGAACCACCCGGACCGGACGCTTGGCGTTTGCTCAACGGCCTTGGGCGTTTACTACACAGCCCTGCCCTGTTCGATCCCTTCCTTGGGCGCGTTGTTTTAAACGGCTTCGCGTGTCGGGGTGTCTGTTATCGGGGTGGATATTCTGCCTTGGACTTATGGCAGCACGAAGGGCTCCACCACTCCGTTACTGGTCGTGGTGGCCGTAGTATACAGTGGCTCAAAAGTTTCGGCGCCTCCCTCGCTGCTTGCCTTAGCCCTTTCCTGCCCGCCCACCTTCCACGCAGAAGGGCCGCCATGGATGCAGAACGCAATCTGCGGCGGAATCTACGTTCGCACAGTGCCGTTGTAGCACTGCTGGCCGCATGTGGCGCGCCATCCGTGCTGGCTGCGGCTGGCGGCCCTCCAAAATTGGATCTGCACGTCGAGATCGAGAGACTGCGGAACGAGGTGCAGCACGAGGAGCAACGGACGCAGGCCATATTAGACAGCACCGCAGCGACGAGGACGGAGCTGATGCAGGTGAACGCGTCTCTGGCCGCAGTGCGGCAGAAGCTGCGGGAGGCCAGGGAGGAGGCGGACTGGCGCAGAGAATGCACCGGCGAGGTTCGGCTGCTGTGCTGGCTCGAGAGCCTGCCACATCAAAGAGCCCTCGCGGCCGCCGCCGGCCTGATCGGCGGCTTCGCGCTGCTCGGGCCACCCGGCCTCCGGGTCGCGTTCTCTGCAGCTTGCGGTTCCGCGCTGGGTTCCATGCTCTTCCTCGGGTGTGCCCTCACGGTCTCCTGGCAGAAGGACATGTGTTACCCCTCGAGGGTCATGTCTTTTATCTCAAGGCTATATCAGGGGACGAGGGGACCACTTCCTGCCCCATCCACTTCTCATCCTCCGCCTCCTCCTCTTCTTCCTCCTCCTTCGTGTCTTCCCCTCCGTTGCTATTTCGGCTCGCACGTGCAGCAGCCCACGTGCGATGGGGCACCCTCTTTCCTGAAGCTTCTGGCGTGTCATGCCCCAGCGGGCAAAGTTTCTACCGCGTCGCTACTGGTTGCCAACGTCGCGAAACAACATGTCGAGATCATCGGCTAGGGCCCCCAGAATCGGAAACTGGAACATATGCATTACCAGTGGCGGGATGCTTTTCAATCCCAGGACTGTCATGGTCGGGGACGACGTTGGGGCGGTGTGGTGTGTACTTGTTTCCCCGATGTCCCGGGAAAACAGCGAAAAAATGCATACACCAGGGCCCCGTATGCACCAGGATCCGCTCCCCAGAGCAAAGTTCAATGCAGGGCCGGAAAAAGCGTCGGTGTATAGAGGTCGATTCCTTACATCGACTAGACGTAAGAGTGACCTTTCGCCGGAGTGACCTCTGGTGTGGGCACAGAGGGGTCCCCAGATGGCTGAAAACGGAGCAGGAGCAGCGGCTTGCGCGCCCTGGTTTGGTCCCCCCGCGGCCCCCAAGAAGCCGCGCACCAAAGGTCACTCTTGCCCAGGGTCACTCTTGCGTCATGTCGGGCGTGTCCCCCTACAGGGGGATTTTCGACAAAAAACAAAACAATCAAAAATAGTCCCAAAATCGTCTGGGGAGTATTTTTTGTATTGTGGTACCTTTTGGGTGTATCTTTGGGGTAGCTATTATTTTTCGTCGAAGATCCCCCTGTAGGGGGACACGCCCGACATAACTGTCCCGGAGAAGCAGCTGGCCCTGCAGGTGCGGGCGCCCTGCGGGCGGCTCTCTCCAGCGCACGGGCGACAGCACCGACGCCGCAAGCTCGCGGTGGGCCTCGGCGGCGGGGCCACAATACGGGGCGTGAAAACGACCACAGCCACTGCTTTTCTCTTGTTTGCCGCCTTCCAGCCAGCAGAAACAAAGCAGTGGTTGTGGTCATTTCCGTTAAGCTTGGCACCAGGGAAATGACCACAACCACTGTTCCTTTTTCGGCCGGCTGGAAGGCGGCGCAAACAAGAAGCAGTGGCTGTGGTCATTTTCCCGTCCCGCACACAAGGTGGCTCCCTACGCCAAGCACTCAGTGGGCCCTGGAAACGACAGGGCCGTTTTTGTTGCCGGTTCCGTTTTGCCGTTTTTGTTGCTGGTTCCGACGCCGTTTGTTTTATCGGTTCCGCCGCCGTTCTTTTACGGGCTCCCGCTCCGGCTCCACTCCTGGAGCCGTGTTTGTTACTGTTTCCGGTCGCCGTTTGTTTGCCGCTTCCATTTTCAAAGGGCATTTTTCGGAAACGGTGAAAAAACGGCCCTGCCGTTTCCGGGACCCACTAAGGCCAAGCATGCAAAGTATGGGAAGATGTATGGATAGAGAAGTTTCTCGGACTCTTTCGCCTGGCTGCTCCACCACACGCACGGTGCTCACGGAGGGCGACGGGACTCGTCCACCTGGCACCGACAGCGGCCGTTAAGGACGAAGTCCACGGCGCTGATGGACCATCTAAGTTGGCATGGGATACGAGTGCTGCCCAGCGTCTCGAATTTGATTGGCAGGCCGTCCCGAAACGATTCCAGGATCTGTAGAGAAACGTTGACACATCGACGTGGGCGTGTTCCTAATCAGCGGTGGGCACCGGGGGAGCTCTAGGCAACCTCCAGGAGAGTCGGCATCGTCACATGCAACGACCATTGTCTTCTCATCAAGCGGGACTCGGGCAGGCGACGGCAACAATTCTAGATGATTGTGGAACTACTTTGACAGCGATGTGGGTTGCTACACCAGGGTGTCCATGGATTTGAAGAAACGCTCGAGACTTACCTCCATGAATCAAATCTCAATTCAAACGCATACTTTTCGAATGCGGTAGACCTGGTGTCTGGGGAGGGGCGCCATTCTGATTCTTTGGTATGCTGAACGGACGGTGGCCGATGGTCGATGCCGGGGAAGGTTCTCTACCAGTCATCAGACATCGGGCTCGTGCGACCCTCAAGATGCGGATGCTGGCCAGGAGACACGCGGCAGCCAAGGTCCAGAATATCCTTTCCTTCGCATCCAAGGGCGAGGGGCGCCGACATATCTTGGGGAGGCGTCTGGAAAGCTGCAGTCTTGAGTCCGAACCTACGCGCGGAACTGGCACGCCAGCGAGCCGCAGGCCAAGGAACCCGCCCACGGCGCGGACGTGGGGCGTCGCACCCAGCTGCCGACAGTGCAGTTTGGCGGCTGGGCGCCGTGCTCGCGAGGAGGCTCATCGAGAACGCCACCATGGGGCCGCTGAGCTGCACGCCGACAGCAGGGAGCCCGTCCTGCGCCAGGCCGAGTGCATCCACGCGAGCGCGCAGGGGGGCCAGGCTGCGCTGCTGGCGCGGAAGGCTGCATCCATGGAGAGAGGAGGGGGAGGATGCCGACCCACGCGTGATGCAAAAAGCCATGATCAGGATGGCTTCGCAGCGGCACACTGCTATGCGGAGGATGGCGCAGATCGCGCACAACCCTTTTGCTATGGTCAACGAGCTGAAGAACCGCGGGCAGCCCGCGTTCAGCGCCTCGCCCGCGCAGGAGGATTTGATGTCCCCGCTTCTAGACAGGCACATGCCGAATTTTGACAACTCGCATCTTCCACCCCCCATCTCAATGATCTGCGGCTGGCTTGTAAGAGGACCCGAGACGCGGCCTTTGTGCCGGACAAGCCTCAGCGCGAGCTCTGTGCGGCCATTTGGTTCTCGCGGAAGTCTTGCGGGGAGCCCTCACGCAGATGGCCAGCGGCCAGCACCTGCCATCGTGGCTCAAAGACTGTTTGCTTGCCTTTCTCCCGACAGGGGACAACGCCACAGACCTCATTGACCTGCGCGCGACTGCCCGAATGCACGCGCCCGTTGGCGCTGAAGAAGCCCGACAGCAAGGCAGTTGCCGCAGGCGACAACCTCCACCTCTCTCTTGGAGGCAGCGGCTACAGATATCTATGGAGCTCGGAAGGGGTGCCGTGCCAGGAAGGAGGTCTAGCCAGCACCTTGCTGCCATCGACGCCAGGTGTCGGCGAGCTGGCCTCCCTCCTGGGGCGCGCGAGCGCTCGACGCCAAGGCTGCCTTTCCATGCGTGCCCCAACTCGTCCTCCATCGCGCCGCCGAGCGCCATGCCCCCCCTTGCCTCCTTTCGTTAAGTCGGGCCTGTCCCTCTACAGGAGGACAGTTGAAAAAAAAAAGTACGGGGACGATTATTTGACTACGGTTGTCCATTTTGGGGGTATTTTGTTTGCGTATTTTCTATGTTTCGCCCAGAAAGCCCCTGCAGGGGGACACGCCCGACGTAATCCGATCGCCACATGCTCGAAAGGCTTGCGCACGATGCGATAGGGCACGCCAGAGTCGGTGACGCTTTTTCACAGCTCTGTCCCCGCCGCAGCCCGCGCGCCAAGGCACGGGCAGTGCCCGCGCACTCCGCTCGTGGATGGGAAAGCTCCAAGATTATCAACGCCAAAAACGATTGCGGGGTGCCCATGGTTCCCCAAGCGGGCCACGCCGCCCGATGGAAGAGCCCTGGATAAAAATGGCAGTCTAGGTGTCACGAAGTGGCTTTGTCCAGGCCCCCCCCCGAGGTTTGGCGCTGCCGACTGTTGGGGTTAGGCTGGTGGATGTCCAGTGCTGCCTCGATCCCAGTCGAGCCAAGTTGCGTACATGTGAGGAGTGGGATGAGCGCGAGAGGAGGCTTCGGGCGGCGGCGAAAGAGTTCAGATTCCTTGCGGGCTCTGCAAGGCAGCAATGGTCACCAAGATGTTGGGCTCGGCGACAGACAACTGTGCAGCTTTCTTCAGCTTCCGGCCCCCTGCTGCGAAGCTTTTCGGTGTTCCCACCAGCCCGCGGACAGTCATCTCATGACACGTTCTAGGCGCGTTCTTCGGGAGGCAATCCAGGGGGCGGTTCCTGCGGCGGCGCCCAGAGATGCACCTGACGGAAGGCGCGGGCCCAGCTGACAGACTCTTCCCCTTCGTTTTTTAGGTTCCTGATGTTTGTCCTGACTGCATCTCGAGATTAATCGGGCGAAGATTTGCGAATCAGTTCCGTGAGCGACCCACCCTGGCAGCGAAGAGCTGGCACGCCGATGTGGGTCGGTGCGTCATGCGCTGCAAGGCCTGGCCCCTCTTCCAGAATCTGGCCCCACTTGAAAGCGATTGCCGGACGCTGGGTCACGCATGTTCGAGCGGGGATCCTCACTCCCATGGGCTGACGTTATGGGTGCGCCGGCGACTTCGCAGGGATAGAAGTGTGCGCTCTCTTATGTCGGTCACTATCTCTCTTGTCCTGGGCTTCCTCACCTTCTCGCCGTTCCTCGCGCTGCTCTTCCGCGCGATTTGTTTATTCGTCTGGGAATCGGCCCATCATCTGCTTAAAACGTAGATTGCGAATCTGATTCTCTGAACTTGCAGCGAGCAAACCAGTTGCGTGTGCTTGCCTTTGCATTGACCACAAACCTTCAGTGGGGCTTCAGCGTTTGCCTCATCTTCGAGGTAACTACAGCATTTCGTTTCGAATCCGTCACGCAACTCTTGTTGCGACAATCGGGCACACGCCCCGTGCATCTCGCACACGCAGGAGCCGCCCCCCCCCCCTCCCGCCTTTCTCGACGCTCTGCCGCATGCCCCCTCGAATTTGTTCAGGGCTGCAGGTGGGTTGAATTGTCGATCCCGACAGGATTAGTTGAGTACCGTCTGACTCGTTCCCTTCTGGTGACGTGCGCTCTTCCGCCTCCTCCCCCGGCCCCCCCTTTCCCCCTTTTCACCCTCTTGATCTAGTCGTTCACTCTTTGCGTTGTATACATACTTGCGCGCACATGGTTGCATACACACGTGGGGTTCGTGTAGGTACAGCACATGTATGCACAAACGCATACATATACATGCATGTACGCACGCGCGTTTAAACAAATCAGCAAGAGTGAACGGAACGGTCTTACACCGCCGTTGGGTGCCTGGCTGCAGCGACGCTTCATTGGGCAATGTATTGTTGTTGTTGCTGTTACTGTTGCTGTTGGTGTTGCTCTTGTTGTTGATGTTGTTGTTTGTGGTGGTGGTGTTGTTGTTGCTGTCATCGGCGTTCCGCTCGCGACCCGCCCAGCGACAAGCCCGACGCTTTTTCGACACTTTTCCCGGTGCTCGAAAGTAATTCTGGGATGTGGTCTTTCAGTACGATTTGAACAACAGAACCATAGGCGTTGTTCGATGACGCGGTAGATCTCGACGCCGCACCGCCCGCAGTTCAGTTGGATCCGCAATTGCGCGGGCGTGTGTGTGGTTCGGCCGGAGGGGGGCGGGAAGCCGCTTGGCCCTCCCTGGCTCGGTTCCCCCTCACTCCCAACTCCAATGCTTTAGCAGGGCTGGGGGACATACGAAAGGATACATTATTTTCCTAAAGTCTGGAGCCCCCTGCGCGTTCCTACACTGGGGGGCCGCAAGGGGGGACGGGGGGGGGGCAGGCCCGCACTGGAAACTCCTGACAGCGAAGAGGAGAAGCAGAAGTTACGCCTCAGAGATCCTCAAGCATCTCCCCTGGAGCCCAAGAGGCCCCAGGCGCCCTTCCAATAGGCTTCCGAAAGGCTTCCCAAGCAATCCCAACAGGCCTCGAAAGGGATTCGGATCGGTTGCGGGATGGTCCGAAGGCCAAGATATCTTACAGACGCATGCGCCGAAGCATGTGGAAACGTCTGCAGTACAGATCGACACTGCTGAATGCGAACTTCCGCCTGCTCATCCATTTGCGTGGCCATCTTTACTTCTCCTCTGACTCGCTATAGGTCTCGGGACTTCAGCGTACAGCACGCACATGCTATGAGCCACAATACCTCCCAGAACGACTGGTCAGGATAGGGATCAAGGGGGAGCAACAACACCCCGACCCCGAGAATCGGCGTGGGCTAAACGGCCCTGGGCGTTTACTAAACAGTCCTCCCCTGAGTGCGTTGACTGGACGGCTTCGCTTGTCGGGGTGCTTCTCATGAGGGTGGCTCCTGGGGTGGCCGTCGTGCTGGACTCCGGGGTGGTCGACGTGCTGGGTTTTTTTGGGTGGTCGGTGTGCTGTCGTCCTGTGGTGGTCGATGTGCTGGGCCCTGTGGCGGTCGATGCGCTGGAGCCTGGACTGCGCTGACGGCATGGATCTCGGGCGGTCCACGGAAGGGGCCAGGGGGTGGGCAGGAAGCGCTGGTGAACTTGGGGGTAGGTGGAAGGCGGGAGGAGCAGGATGAGAAAGGAATTGGAGGGGGTCAAGCAGGGAGGAGGGGCGGGCGACGATGAGGAGGAGAGAGGAGCACTGTGGACGACCATGTTCTGCCTCACTGCACAATGCACGCACCCTGATCACTGAACACCGTAAATCAAGGCGCAAAGCTGCACACAGGGGCATTGCTATGTATAGCGTGGTCCCCAGAGACCGCGCGTTCGCTACAAATCCTCAAACTATGCCCAAGAGCGATTGTTCTATCACCTGGTGCTCCTGCAAGGACTGCCCCCCTCCCTGCCCGCCGCGGGGCAGGTCGCGGGGCGGCTCACGGTGGGTCGCGAGCGGAACATCGACGACAACAACAGCAACACCAATAATGAATGGCACAGCGAAGCGTCACTTCAGCCAGGCACCCAGGGACGGTGTAGGACCGTTATGTTCCTGCTTGCCGGCATATGCATGCCTGTATACACACACATATGTTATGTATAAGAATTTAGAGATGGATCTTTACATGTACCTGAGCGTCCACGTTTTCACTTCCACACATTTCGTGTATATAGATATACTTATATATATAATATATATATATATATATACACATCTATCTGTGCATGTGAGCACGTATGTGTGATGAGCCTACATGTGTGTTCCGCGTGTGCATGTACATTGTTCTTACATGCATGCACGTGCATGTAGTCAAAGTTGCACTCTCATGTATGTGTACAACGGAAAAAAAGCATCAGGAGGGGAAGGGGGAGGGGGAAGGAGGAGAGGGAGTGGGAGGGGGAGAACGCGGAGGAGGGGGACGAGGAGGCGGAGGACGAGAGGACGGTGGAAGAGGAAGTGGTTCCAGGACGTAGCCTTGAGATCAAACATAAGCCCCGAGGGGTAAGGCATCCCCTCCCAGGTGTGGGCGACGGTTGCGCCCGCCGCGCCGTCCGAGGCGCTGCTCCCCTTGCCGCTGCAGCTGGGGCGGCTGCTGGCAGGGGGCGCCCCTGCACCTTGCTACTGGGCGTGGCTGGCGCTGCTGGCCTGCAGCCTGCTCCCGTGGGTGGGCACCCACGGCCGACGCCGTGGCACATCCCGGGCTGCCTCCAAGGTGCCTTCCTCCTTGCCGTGTGGTGGCGATGAGGAGGAGGAGGAGGAGGAGGAAGAGGAGGAGGAGGAGGAGGAGGAGGAGGAGGAGGAGGAGGAGGAGGAAGCGGAGCACTAAGGAGGAAGGAGGAGAAGGAAAAGGAGGCACATCACGCCAGGTGCCGCCAGCCAAGGCCTGCCAGCATACCGAGGGCGACCCCGCCGCCGGCTCCGCCCGGGGCGACCCTGGGCCGCGGGATCACCTGCAGGCTTCGGGCGCGGAGATGGTCGGGCGTTGCGCCACGACGGGGCGTTGGGGTTATGCTGCTCCCATCTTGCTGATCTAGGCCTCCTAGATGGGGTCGGAACAGATGGGGTCGGAGGATCGCGCCGCATGGCCGATGCATCGGCGATGTGGCTCGATGAGGGATCCGATTTCCTCCACGCCGACGTCGCCGATGCATCGCCGATGCATCGCCGATACATCGGCGATGTATTGGCGATGCGGCGCGATCCTTCGACACCATCTACTCGGACCCCATCTAGGAGGCCTCTAACTTAATGACCACATCCCAGAAATAATTTCGCGCACCGGAAAAGAGTCGAAAGAGTGTCGAAACAGTGTCGGACGAGTGTCTCCCAGGGCCCGTCACGTGAAAACCATGGAGTTTCGGTACTTTTCTGATGCTCGAAATTCTTTCTGGTGGTCAAGGCCAAAGTAGGTTGGGACATCATAGCAGTGGGGAAGAAAGGTTTACCTGTTTGGCCCTGAAGGGCTCCCTGGGACCCACAGGAGCACGAAAGGTGCACGTTTCTTCGCCCACCCCACTTCCCTGACCAACCACCTCCCACATCTTCCGACCAGCAGGAGCCCGAAGACGGCACAGGCATGCACTCCCGGAGCTGCGCGTGCAGTTTTGTTCTGCCCCTCGAGTGGAGACCACTCCATCTGCCACCTGCTGGTCGGAAGGCGTGGAACCCAGACATCCGACGTCTCGATTTTTTCGAGACACGGGCCCCCGACCTCGCGACCACTTCCCCGGGACCGGTTTTTCATCCCGAGTCGTTTTTTGACGGTCCCGAGGCCCGGCGAGGGCTCCGTCCGGGAGGCCGAAAATAACGAAAAACCTCCGTCTCGATTTTTTCGAGACGACCGATGTCTGGGAAGGTGGAGGCCAGGGTGAGCGCCTCCCCTTTGAGCCACGCCCCCAGGCAGGACCCGGCCCCCCGGGCGCGGGCGTGGGGCCCCTGCCGCCGGAGCCGGGCGCCGGCGGCGACGACTGGGAGCGGCCGGCGGGCGCCGGCAACAGTCCGGACCGCCCCGCCGCGGGCGGGGCCGGGCGCGCCGGGGCCTCGTGGGCGCCGCGGCACGTGGAGGGGCCGGTGCAGACTGTCGGGTCGGGCGAAAAGGGGGGTTTGGGAAAGGGGGGGTTACGAAATCTGCTGTATGTAGCTGGTCTCGGCCCCGCCGCCGGGCCCATTCCTCGATACATGGGCGCCTCCCGGCGCCGGGAGGCGCCGGGAAGATCAGCTACGTGAGCTGATTCTCAACCCCCCCCTTTGCTATCCCCCCTTTCGCCCGACCCGAGACTGGAGGGACACAAGTGCGGCAGGGGCACCAGGCGTTGCTCGGGCATGCCCCTCTGCAGGAGGAGCGCTCGAGAGCATGTGTAACTAGACAAACAGCCGGTCTGGTGACGAGGTGTCGTGCTCCCTGGACTGTGTTCCTGATTCTGGTTTGCCTCTCCTCGTTAGTCGTCCTCCAGCATCCGCCTGTAGGAGGACATGCCCGACTAAAACAGGGCTAGGATCGGGATAAATCGCTCCAGAGCGTTCCGGAGCGCTCTCAGAGCGTTCCGGAACGCTCTGGAGCGGCCGCGCGGCGCCCAATACATCCTCCCAACCCGCCGATTCTCAAAAATTTTGAGTTACCCCGATCCGATGTTGTCCCGACCCAACACCAGGCCTTCTGAGGCGCAGGTGCTTCTCAGGGCCGGCGCCGGGGCACGCCCTCCCCAGGGGCGGCGCCTCTGCGCCGCGCCCGGGCAGACCGCGCGGACCTCCGAAGCTTCGTGCGCCCTGCGCCGTCGTTGCGTCCCCCGCGGCAGGCGCGGCGGGGGTCCTTCGGAGGCTCCGTGGCCAGGATGCTCCGCTGCAGCGCCCGCGGGCGACGCCCCGAGGCGGCGGCGCCGTGAGCGGGGGGCTCGGCGGGGCAGTGCCGCCGCAGGAGGGGGCCTGCGCGTGGCCGTGCAGCCGTGCTGTCGGGCCGGTGCGGTGGGGCTCGTGGCGTGCGGGCGCCAAGGGCTGCACCAGCGCGGGCGTGCAAGGCTGCGGCCTTGGGAGCGGCCGATGCCGAGCGCTCTGCGCGGTCGGAGTGCCGCGCGCGGTGTCCGCGGCCAGTGCCCCGGTCGTCACGGCACGGAGTGGCCGTTCCATGGCGCAGGAGAGGCATGGGTGGACCCAGACCCCCTCGCGTTGTGAACACGTGGCGACAGATTTTGTGTTGCTATGTTTGGCCTCGCAGGGCCCTTACCGGGCCTCACGACCGTCAACAAAAAGTTATCCAGGATGGGAAGCTGGTCCCGCGGAAGGGGTCGAGACCTCTGGGGGTCGATGGTTTGAACATATCACGACGTCGGGGGTCTTGGGAGGGTGGACGCACTTATGTGCAGGCTGCTCAAGCCTCGCAGTGGGCTCACACCATGCGAGCGTTGATAGGGACGGAGGCCATCAGCATGGAGTTACTGTGCTGCGAGACAAAACGCGTACACGCGCCAATTCCCCGATTGCATCGTTATCCGATTTGTATATCGCGGTGCATTCGCACACAGTCCTCCCAGCAGTGTTGTTGAAGGGGTCCATCATTGGCAACGCGGTGTTGCTCAAGAGCCATGCTATATCTAATGGAAGAACGTCCTGGGGAGGCTTGTCACAGAGGGGTTGTCTGGGGGGTTGTCCGGACCCTTGCGGGGTTGTCCAAGGGGTTGTCCAGGCCACGTCGTCTCGCCAGCAAGTGCGCATGTCATTATCACACATACCAGTAGAAGCATGGCACAACCAGGGAAGCCCAGCTGGAAGTATCGCCTCCTTTTCCCCCCTCCCCTCCTGTCCATTTCTCGTCTTTCGCGTTCCCCTTCCGATCCCATTCGCGCGCCCTCCTTTACACCGGTACCCCAAGCAGCTATGTTGACTGGGGTACTGTTGCGGCGGTAGAAGTTCTGGCCAAGGGGCCAGCGCCCAGAGACATCCGCCAGCATCGGGGGTGGTCGGGCCAGTTCCGCTAGAGACGCCCTCGCATTTCTGGGTTCGGAGATGCCCTGAACTGAGGTGGTCTGGCCAGTTTGGCCTTGACACAGTCTCGCAAGTCTGGGCTCGGAGATGCCGGCGTCCCCGGATCTCGGGGCTCGGAGATGCAGCGAGCGAGGTGGTCCAGCCAGTTCCGCCAGAGACACCTGGGCTCGGAGATGCAGCGCGCGAGGTGGTCCAGCCAGTTTCGCCAGTTCAGCGATGCCGCGTGATAGTTTCCGGCCAGTTCCGCCTGTGACAGTTTCGCAATGTTGGGCTGAAAGATGTCCTGACCTGAGGCGGTCCGGACCGCTCCTTCTGAGTCGCGACACGCCGAGCAAAGGCTTTAGGTGAGAACCTCGTGGGGCAGCGTGCGCTAGACCGGCAGCCCTGGTGCCAGTCGAGTCCTTAGACGAACTCCCCGAGCATCCCCAACGGGCGCATGCAGGAAAAGAAGGCAGCACACGCACACACACACACACACACACACACACACACACACACACACACACACACACACACGCACGCACACGCACACGCACACGCACACGCACACGCACACGCACACGCACACGCACACGCACACGCACACGCACACACACACACACACACACACACACACACGCCAGCATGCGCGCGCGCTGATGACTTTGACTGGCGCACGCGCTCCAGCATCGAGCGTCCAGCCGAACAGTTCTGCGTAATTAGACCACATGGCCGCCGGCTGCGCCCTGGCAGATGGCCGCCGCGGGGGGCAACCAGCACACGGTTTTAGTCAGGAAGGACGGCTCGGCGGCCGCCTTCGGCCACAACAGGCAGGGACAGTGCGATCTGCCGGCGCTGGCGAAGGGCCAGACCTACACGCAGGTCGCCGCCGGGGACTTCCACACCGTTCTGCTCAGGAGCGACGGCTCTGCCGTGGCCTGCGGCGACAATGGGGAAGGGCAGTGCGACCTGCCAGCGCTGGCGAAGCGCCAGACCTACACGCACGTCGCCGCTGGACGCAAGCACACCGTCCTGCTCCGCGGCGACGGCTCGGCTGTCGCGTGCGGTCACAACGGGAACGGACGGTGCGACCTGCCGGCACTGGTGGCGGGCCAGGCCTACACGCAGGTTGCCGCGGGCGCCGCGCACACGGTCCTGTTGAGGATAGACGGCTCGGCCGTAGCTTGCGGCGCCCAGGGGCTCGGACGGTGCGACCTGCCAGCGCTGACCAAGGGCCAGACCTACACGCAGGTCGCCGCCGCAGGCTTCCACACGGTACTGCTCAGGAGCGACGGCTCGGCCGTGGCCTGCGGCTACAACGGGAACGGACAGTGCAACCTGCCGGCGCCGACGAAGGGCCGGTCCTACACACACGTCGCCGCGGGAGGCCTGCACACCGTCCTGCTCAGGAGCGACGGTGCGGCCATCGCCTGCGGTGACGATGCGAAAGGGCAGTGTCGCTTGCTGGCACTGGCGGCGGGCCAGACCTACACGCACGTCGCCGCGGGAGGCCTGCACACCGTCCTGCTCAGGAGCGACGGCTCGGCCGTCGCGTGCGGCGACAACGAGAGCGGGCAGTGCGAGGGCGCCGGGCTCCTGCGCGCCGAGGCGGTCGCAGCCGCCCGGGCGGCGGGGTCGCGCCAGGGCGTGCCCGCGGCCGCGCCGCCAGACGTGGGGCCGAGGTCCGGGCCGCTGGGCGCAGGCCGCGGCGACCTCGAGGACATCGACGCCCTCGCCACGGCCGCGAGGCGCGAAGAGGGGGCCGGGCGGGAGGCGCCCGCGGCGGCGGCTGCGCCGGCCGCGGAGCCGGCTGAGGAGGCCGTGGCCCGCCTCAGGAGAGAGCTGGGCGCGCCGCGGCACGTGGTCTGCGTCCTGGGCAGCACCGCGCTCCAGGACGGCGAGTCCGAGGCGCTGGTGCGGGCCCTGGCGCGGGGCCTGGACGCGGACCTCGGCCCCGAGGTGGCCTTCGTGACTTGCGGGCTCCCGGGCGTGGAGCGCGCCTTCGCAGAGCACTGCGGCGACGGCTCGCGCCTCTGGAGCCTGGTGCCGCGGGCGGAGGCCAGCGGCTACCCCGCCGGGCGCGACGTGCACGCGGGGGCGAACCTCGCGGAGCGGAGGGAGGTGTTCGGCGCGCTGGGGGACGTGTACGTCACCGTGGGGGGCGGGCCCGAGGCGGCGCAGGCGTGCCGGGCCGCGGCCGCGCGCGGCGTGGCGGTCGTGCCGCTGAGCCGCAGCGGCGGCGCGAGCGCGGGCATGCTCGAGCTCCCCGCAGAGGCGCTGCGGAGGCCAGCCTGCGCGACGCAGCAGCAGTGGGAGCTCCTCTCCTCCACGAGCGCGGCCGCGGAGGCGACCGCGGCGGCCGGGGCGCAGGTGGTCGTGGCGGCCCTCGCCGAGAGAGCTGCCAACCTGCTCGAGCAGCAGCTGCGCGAGCCTGCTCGGCCGCATGCGCAAGCCGCAGACGGGATCCTCGGCGCTGGGGGCGACGACGACTGGGCCCGAGAGGCCACGGAGGCCCCGGCCGCGACGGAAGCTCAGCGGGTGCCCCCGGCGCCCCTCGCCGGAGGTGGCCAGCGGCACGCCCAGGGGCCTCGAGGTCCGAGGTTGTTGAATTTTGGCGTCGGTTCTCGGCGGTTCTCCAGCCTCGGGATGCTTTCCAGCAGGTGTGCCTCGCCGAGAGCTGCCTGGGGGCTGCCCGATTCGTCCCAAGCGGCCGCCCGAAAGCTGAGTTATGGCCCTATAGGACCGCCAGGCGCCCGAAAAGGTCAAATAAACGGCATTAATACACATTTCCGGAGGTCAACGCAGATTCCTGAGATTGGGCGTTGCGTAATGGAGGGGTCATAAATGGGGGGGTGGCGAGGGTGGTCCGAAAAGGTACCCAAACGGTACCTAAACGAGCCCCCTGGGGGTCCGGAGGGGCTCGAAAGGGGCACGAAAGGGGACCGTTTCTGACCCCCCCATTTATGACCCCCCCATGAAGCCACGCCCAATGAGATCGGCACTGGGCCCGCTTGGCGGCGCATCCGGCGCCGCACCTGGCGCGCTCCGCGCGCCAGGCGCCAGGGAGGGGTTTCCAACGCCGATTCTAGAAATCTGTTCGGAGCTCCGAATAGGGCTCCGGAGCTCCAGATTCGGAGTTCTGGCTAGAACTTCGGCAGAACTCTATGCGGAGCTCCAGAACCCAAGAGATCTGTGTAATTATCCGGCTTCTGTCTCCAAATGAGTTTGCTTGCTGGAGTTCGAGTTCCGTTCGTAGAGAGCTGGTCCACCGCCGCGCCCCCCTTCAAGTTTGCTAATGTATCGTATTGCATCTCATGGTTTGATCTGCGAATGGTTTCCCCGGCTGTTTCTGCAGGACCCGATATAGGGTGCCAAAGGAGCCGTATAGGTTCATTGTGACACTGCATGGGATGTGTTATGAAGTCTCGTGCGGATCCTATAGGATCCCTTTAGGACATCGTGCGGATCGTATAGGTTGACGATTTGGAATCTCACAGGGTGTCACCAGAAACGTGAAGGATGCCTTTTATGATTTGTGGGATCTCATGGATATCGTGACTGATGCTTGTCGACTGGCAATCGAATCCCACAGGAATCGCACAGGCTTGCCAAACGATCTCATATGAACCGAATTGCATTATTATAAGAGGTCTGAGCAATCGTGTATAGATTCCTGTAGCATGTTGTACAGGGTCTCGTCGGAGTCCGCACGGGCCCTATAATATTGCTACAGGACCACATGAGAATCTTACAACATTCTTTGAGGATGTCGCACGAAACGTATAGGATGCCGATCTAGACTGCCATAGGAATTGTAGAGGACTCCTGCAGGACCCCAGTGGGAGCTCCCAGGGGTCGTATAGGACCCCCACAGGATCTCAATGGGATCGAGCAAACATGTCGTAACCTTGTACAGGAAGCGTATCACAAGTCGTCATAAGTGTCTCATCGAGTTCCGATCGGATCTCACAGGAATTGTTTGGTATGCTTGTAGGATTGCAGTCGGATCTAGTAGGAATTCCATCGGATGCCTATCAGATGTCTCATGAGTCGCAGACGGTTCCAATATGTTCCGGCAGGAATCGTATAGGACGCTTGTAAGCTCTCATGGGAGCCGCGTCGGATGTTTACTATGACAGTCTTTTGGGGCTTCAATGGAATTGTACAGGGCCCCGATAAGAACCCACAGGGCTCGTATAGAAGTCTAGTAGGATATCGTAGGAATTGTATGCCCTCGTACACGATCGCATAGGTAACTATCGCACAGGAATGGCAAACATGCCAGTAGACATCGCACAGGATCTCACAATATTCCTGCAGGGTTCTGCAGGATTTCACAGGACTTGTATAGGATCCTTTTGTCGGATCTCACATGGACCGTACATGAGCTTACTTTGGTCGAACAAGAACCGTCGATGGGTTCCTAGCTCACAGGAGCCTCATATGACCCACATTGGGTCGCATAGGGTTTGTAAAGGGTAGAGCAGACAAGGGATAATAGGGTAGACGATAGAGTAGGGTCGGGTGGAACATTGAATAGTAGAGTAGAGCAGAGCGGAGTAGAGTGGAGTAGAGGATAATCTAGTAGGAGGAGACTAGAGTAGAGCCGAGTAGAGTAGGTAAGGGTAGGTAGGGTGGCGCAGAGCAGGGTAAAGTAGAGCAGAGTAGTGTAGGAGGAGAGTTCAGTAGAGCAGAGCAGAGTAGAGTAGGATGGGGTAGGGTGGCGTAGAGTAGTGTAGAATAGTGCAGAGTCGAGTATCATAAACTAGGGTAGATAGAATAGAGCAGGGGAGAGCAGAGTGGAGTAGACTACACCCCAATCCAGTCCAGTCCAGTCAAGTCTACTTCAGTCCACCCCAGTCCACTTCATTTCAGTGTTTTGATGTGTTTGGAGTCTGCGATGGCTGATCTGTTCCTCTAAATGGGGCGGGCCTTCCCAGAAAGCTCCGACGACCTCCAGCCGTAGGAGCTTTCTACAGTCAGGACGCTGACAGACAGACGTCTCTGGGTTCAGGAGGGGCCGAGAGCTGGGTCGGGGAAACTGCGCGGTCGAGGTCTGCCGTGGCCTACCAACCTTCTCCTCCGTTCCTTAGCCACCGGTCCTGATGGTAGCACGGCAAGGACTTCTCCGGAGGCTGGAGGGTTTCTCCGAAGCCCGGGTGCCGTCTCATAAGGCCTCTCCCCATTTGCCCCCCGGCGCGCCGCCGAGGTGGGGTGGGGGCTGCAGCGGCAACCGCGGCGGCTCCGGTTCCGCGGGCTGGGGTGGCACTCGAGGGCAGCCGCGCCGCCAGCGGCGACGAGGGCTCGCAGGTGGCCGGCAGGGAATCCAGGAGAAGAAGCCCCGTGAGAAGGGGCCAGCTCTGTCGCGAGAGCGCCGGGGCGTCATCGCGCCGGTGAGGTCCGAGACCTCATCAGGCCGATGTCGTTCCGAAAACCGAGTCAAGGAAGCTTTAGGCCTGCTGGATGGGGTCGGAGCAGATGGGGGCGGAGGATCGCGCCGCATCGCCGATGCATCGCGGATGCATCGCCGATGCGGCCCGATGAGGAGCCCGAATGTCGCCGATGCATCGCCGACGTCGACGATGCAATCGCAGGTGCATCGCCGATGCACCGCCGACATATCGGCGCTGCGGCGCGAGCCTCCGACTCCATCTACTCCGACCCTATCCAGGAGGCCACCAAGGAAGCGCAATCACTGAGCTGGGCGCGTGGATCAGCGACGGCTTCCTCCTCCGTGCAGGATCAGCGTGTATTCCGTTGCCACATGAGAATCGGCGGGGGCGCCACGTGTTCGGAGGGGGCGCTTCCCCGATCCGCGGAGGAGCCCCTCTTGCGGCGATTTGGTGGCCGTCTACGCACTCGAGAGTTCGCCATGGGAGACAGAGCGCGGTTTTCATGGGGAGCCTGCGAGGCGACAAAGGATGCAGCCCCCCCCCATTCTGCGGACTGGTCCCTGCGAAGGTTGCCTTCAACTCACTCAGGCGGTCGCCGTGAGAGACAGATCGCGATTGATACAGCAGCCTGCAGGTCGACCAAAGATCTTGGCGCTCCGCGCGGATTTTTTGGATCCGCGCATGGGCCCCCCCGGCGGCGCCTCCGACGCCGCCCCTGGCGCGCTGCGCGCGCCTCGGAGGATGGTCCAGCGCGGATGCAAGAAACCCGCGCGGAGCCCCAAAGTTCATGTTTATGTCGTTTTCTCCTTGTTCTACATACAGGAGCCTGCGAGGCGACAAGTGATCCAAACCCCCATTCTGCAGACTGTCCCCACGACGGTGCAGTGAGGCCTTGCGCCAGGGTTGAAACTCGATTCGGAGAAGAGAAAAGGCATTCACATAAGTTTTCTGATCTTAGCGCAGATCTCTTGGATCGGCGTTGGGCCCCCCAAGCGGCGCTTCTGGCGCCGTCCCTGGCGTGCTCCGCGCGCCACGGAGGGGGGGTCCAGCGCCGAGCCGAGAAAACCATGCGGACCTTCGAAAGTTAATGTTTATGCTGGCTGTCCTTCCTCTATGGATTCATGCCTCGAAGTCTCGAAGCAGCGGCTCTTGCGAGTTTTGACCCAAGTTACCTGCCAGCTCATCCTTCGAGAACCTCCAAAGATCCACGTTGTCATGGAAATCGCCCATCGGCTTTCCCCGGGGGGGGTCCAACACAGCTTCCACATGGTATAAAAGAACAGCTCCAGTCGGCATTCGAACATGTCTGGAGCGCTGCTCAGGTACTGCTGCTTTGAAGCGGCCCAACAGAGGTAGTGTTGCTTTGAAGCGGACCAAGAGAGGTTGCCAAGGCTTGCGCATACCTCGCCGAAGAGACCACGTGGTGAGCCAGCGTCGCAGCCACAGGTCAAGACGCAGGAGGACACGTGACGGCTGAGTATACCCCTGGACAGAATGAACCCACGAGGGTTGTCAAACATATAGTTTCCTTCGCTGATCCGCACACCGAGAGCATGTGCCTGCTACAACGCACAATGGCGCATCAAAACTATCGCGAAGCTCGCGATCATACAACCTGGCGGCAAAGGCACCAGGTCGCCGCAATTAGGTTGTGGTGCGGAAGCGCCCAGAGGCCCATACGAGTCGCATCATGTGAGCATGCATGTGCAGGGCATATGCCATGCGCGATGTACCTTTGCATGCCACTTTCCACCCCCAAGATCAGTCCCAAGATATACAGCTTGTGGCCTGGAGAGTTGGTACTTGTAGAGTTGGTTGGCAACGAGTATGGCATCAGGCATTGGCGAGCACACGGTTCGCTCTTGGAATAGACAAGTACTTCTCCGATGGCGGGAGCATGGCAGGTAGCAAGCAAGTGTGTTAAGAGTTGGTTGCGAATTTGGGCCATTCATCCATGGACACGCTGGACTGTATCACATCTACACAGGATGGCGCCGATGTATGGGTGCATCGTGGCCACCCGAGGTAAGCGTTTATTAATCATCCACCTTGCGAGTCAGGTCCCATACCGCAAACCGTGGATGATCGAACGCGTGGGGTCAGACGGTTCGGCAATACTTGTAGGGTATAGTACGCATGGCGAAAGGCAGGAGGAACAGTAGGGCGACATCCACGCAGATGGGCAGGAAGAGGAACAGCACCACAAAAGAGATTGGCCCAGTGAAAACCCACGACGCATCAGCGATGTTGCAATAAGTGCTCCCTTCAACTTCCCTCTGCATAGGACACTCTAGCATGCATTTTCATTAGACAACGAAGCGAAGAGGTTGAAACAACAAAGATTTCATCCACCCAGACTCAAAGATTCCTCGCCAGGACCAGCCATAGACAATCAAGCATAAACTTCACATTCAAATTTGATAGGATTCGGGTACCCTTCAGTTTTGGACATTATGTAAGAAGTAGTTTTCTTGTGACCTTCAACTCCACGAATCAATCTGACTGTTGCGTCCTGACAAACCTGGGCCGCGTCAGGGCACCACCCCCGGATCTGCAAGATAGCGAATACATTTGACTGGTGCGCCCTGGCCTTCGCAATCGCATCAGAGCGCCGTTCTTGGTACTTCAACCTTTCGAATGCTTACACTTGCTGCGAACTTGAAGGCGAATGTGCGCGTCGCCGAGTCGAGAGCCACATGTTTAAAAAGACCCGCCGCCCATGTGCGAATCTGTTGTACATTTGTTTGAGACGAGTCTGCGCGGCGCCAATGCGAGAGCCATGTCATGAAAACCGCCCACCCTCCGTCCTAGAACCGATTGCAATGTCCAAGCTTCAGGATCTTGCAAGGTGAGAGCGTCTCGGGCGAAATGCCCAGTCCAGCCTACAAGCACGTTTGGGGGTGCGACAGGGAGGAGTTCTATTTGCAAGGGGGAGGGAGAAGGAGGAGGAGGAGAAGGAGGAGAAGGTGGGGAAGAAAGAAGAGGAGGAGGAGGAGGAGGAGGAGGAGGAGGAGGAGGAGGACACGAGTGGGGAGGAGAAGGAAGAGGAGGAAAAGGAGGGAGATGAGGAGGAGGAGGAGGAGGGGGAGGAGGAGGAGGAGGAGGAGGAGGAGGAGCGGGAGCAGCTGAGGGGAGCTGGCTGAGGAGGGGCAGGGGGAGGAAGGAGGAGGAAGATGAGGAGCAGCCCCTGAGATCGCCGCCCCTGCGCTGTACCCTTGGACTCCCGTGGGGGCGCCGGGCCCCCCGGAGCGGAGAGGCGGAGGCGGGCAGCCTGCTGTGGCGGAAGGGGCCCGCGGAGGGAGGGAGGATTGCGCCGAGATCGCCAGGGCCTGGCCGGGCTGATGGGCGGGGCGGGGCATGGCGTCGTAGGCTTCTGGTTTGCTCGGGCCGGGCGAAAGGGGGGGATTGGGAAAGGAGGGGGTACGAAAACTGCTGCATGCAGCTGGTTTCGGCCTCACCGAGGGGCCCATTCCTCGATACATGGCCGCCTCCGGCGCCGGGAGGCGCCGGGAAAATCAGCTACGTGAGCTGATTCTCAACCCCCCCCTTTGCTACCCCCCCCTTTCGCCCGACCCGATTTGCGGCTGTTTTTCTTTCCATGCAGTGGGAGCGCGCATGACGAAACCATCTGCTTTTCGTCACGGCACCCTGGGTTCCTTCGCTCCTCGCGCTGCGCGGCGGCTTCCCGCAGCCGTGGAAGGAGCTGCTGCGTTCAAAAGGGCTCCAGACTTCCCCTCAGGTGCACCTCGCGCACGGTTTTTTTTTTTTGGGGGGGGGGGGCTTCTGCAAACAACCCCCCCCCCCAAAAAAAAAGATAAACCTCGCGCACGGGTTCTCAGGCCTGTGTTTCTTAGGACGGCTTCTTGCGGCCGCGCCCGCGCTGTAGTTTTCCCCTTCTGCGGCCGCTCTCTTCCGTCATTGCCCAGCGGTGCTCTCGCTCGGGCTACGGACGCGGTGCGCGATCGCCCTCGCTGCGACCAAAAGTTGCCTGGCTTGCGAATCTTGAGCGGGGATGGCCAGGCCGCTGGACCCACGCGGCCACCGGCATCCTCGGCGGGCAGGGACGCAGAAGTGGTTTCTGCTTCAACTCTGAGCTGGATGGGTACAGGGGGGGGGGGGGGGCGACGTCGAAGACGAAACATGCACCTACATACATATACCTATATACATACATGTATGCATGTCAGAGTGAGGGGGCGAACGGTCATTCGTTGTCCACGGGTGCGTGGCTGCATAGGGCATTTGTGGTGAGACTTCTGTTTGTTGCGTTGCTGTTGTTGTTGTTGTTGTTGCTGTTGTTTGTGTTGTTGTTGTGATGTTGTTGTTGTTGTGGTGGTTGTTGTTGTTGCTGTTGCTGTTGTTGTTGCTTGTTGTCATCGTCCCGCCCGCGACCCACCCGCGACCCACCCCGCGACCCACCCCGCGACCCACCCCGCGACCCACCCCGCGACCCACCCCGCGACCCACCCCGCGACCCACCCCGCGACCCACCCCCGCGACCCACCCGCGACCCACCCCGCGCGACCCACCCGCGACCCACCCGCGACCCACCCGCGACCCACCCGCGACCCATCCGCGATCGCGACCCACCCGCGACCCACCCCACGACCCACCCGCGACCCACCCCCGCGACCCACCCGCGACCACCCGCGACCCACCCCGCGACCCACCCCGCGACCCACCCGCGACCCACAACCCACCACCCACCCGCGACCCACAATGGAAGTTTACTAAACGGCCCTGGGCGTTTACTAAACAGCCCTGCCCTGTTCGACTCCTTCCTTGTGTGCGTTTACTAAACGGCTTCGCTTGTCGGGGTGATTATTGTGGGGTCGGCGTTCTGCCCTCTACACCCGCGACCCGCCCGCGACCCACCCGCGACCTACCCACATTGGTTTAACGAAAAAGTTGGCGCCTGCGGCGGGCTCGTTGTATAAATTCTGAAACTTTGGCGCCTGCGGCGGGCCTCTCCAGAGTCTCGCAAACTGCCGACGTCCCCACCGCCTCCCTCACTCTTATCCGCATCTGCGGGGTGCTACGCGTATATGTATATATACATCCAAACATATATATATATATATAGACATATGTATACACGCCTCTGTGCATATATCTATTTACATATATGTATGTATATGTATATACTCAGATACATACTTGAATTGTAGCACGCATAACTATACGTATGTGTATACACATACATATACATATATTATTTATACAAATACTCTACACATATATGTGTACACACGTACATATTGGCATATGAATCAAAATGTGTACACGCACGGAGGTCCGCGCGCCGACCCAAGGAATCTAGGCGGACCAAGGAAAGCTTACGCTTGTGCAGATGTCTGATCCGGGCAGGCAGCTTGTCCGAAGAGTGGCCGGGCCGATGCCGAGGACTCGCCCGCCCAGCTCTCCGCCCACGGCGCGGCACCTTGCGTGTGTGGGGGGGGGGGGCCTGGGCCCGAGGTCTCCCGCGGGAGCGCGGGGCGAATCGCCCTTGGCGGCTTGGGCCTGGGAGTTCTCTTTCTCCTCCCAGACATGATCGCGTCGCAAACAAAATCCGAGCGGCAACTTTTCCCTGCTTTCGGCCCCTGGGGGCCCTCGCCAGGCCCGGGACCTTCAAAAAACAGCTCAGGATGAAAAGCCGGCCTTGTGGAAAGAGTTTGTAATTCCGGGGACGCCGTCTTGAACAAATCAGGACGTTGCATGTTTGGGCTAGGGGGCCACGCAGGAGCGGAGGGATCCTCGCGCAGCACGAAGCACGAAGTCACAGGTAACTCGGGGAGGCCCTCCAGGATCGCCGAAGACGCATCCCCGTCCCTCCAGAGGACGCTCGGCTGGTCTTTCAGGCCCCGCCGCGCCGCCCTCGTTAGCCCCAGAGCCCCCGAGGCGGCCCACAGAGTTGTCGTTCTCCAGTGGGCCGCGCGAGAGCGCGCAGATCATCGCGGCTCGCTCTGCTCGTAGCGCGAAGTCAGGGGACCCGGGGAAGCCCCCAAGATGGCAGAAGACGACTCCTCGTGCTCCTCCTCCTCCTCCTCCTCCTCCTCATCATCATCATCATCATCATCATCATCATCCTCATCCTCATCCTCATCCTCATCCTCATCCTCATCCTCATCCTCATCCTCATCCTCCTCCTCTTAAGCGAGGGATCGCTGGACCCTAGCACGCCTGGATTCTTGGACAGCGGCAGTCTGTTCGTCTGCGGCCGCTCGCTTAGCTGTACGCCAGACGAGCGGTGAGACAGAGTACGATGGTTTGCCGTCAGCAAGCTCGCGCCAGTATTCGACGATGCCAGGGCTCTTCCAAAACACGGGAGAAACGGTGGCCCGAATACGGGCCTGGGCCCAAACCGCCAGAGACAGTTCTGGATTGAGCTGGTCTTGAGCGAATACTGAAGAGCGATACAGTGGCTTCCAGTCGGGAAGCGTGGCAGAGGCCGTGTGCCACGCTGAGGCCAGTGAAAGCGTGATCAGTGAATTGGGGGAGGACGATTGCGACCACGAGCGAGTACCGAGGAGGTCGACGAGGCACCAGGAGTTGGGGGGAGCCCTGGTAATCTTATGCAGGGTGCCACGTTCGTGCCGCAGGAACGTGACTGGAAATGGAAAATACTGCGTGAGGTACGATAGGACAGTGATAACACATGTGTTATACAGTTTGAGCGCCACTGCGCGGCCAGGAGCGCTCGCCGGTAATTGTACCACGCGCAACCAGTATGTATCAAATGCGGCTTTCCATTGACTGTCTAGAGTTACTGCTGGACCTATGAGCACTATGGGCTGTATTCTGCAATCTGAATGTGCTGCCATTTAGGTACCAGAAATGCTAAGAGGCGTTGGGTGAGAGAGCGCACGGCAGGTGAGAAGGGGGACCATAAGGGCACAATCGCTGTCTTCTGGATCTGTAGTTCGAGTCCTGCGAGAGTAGCAATGGCCCGAAACGCGGGGAAGGAGGAAAGGGAGGGTCCCAAGGCGAGCGAGGACGAGACCCAGATCAGCTGCGCAGGCGCCGAGCTTGTTGGATCCAGGGAAGGTGCTTAAAATCTGGACTAGGTGTCCAATGGGTGCATCAAAGGCCAGGGCCCAAGTCGATCCCGAGAGGGGGCAGCCCTGGAGAACACCTGAGCCTAGTACGGACATGTACTGGAGACGGCCACCTACACGGGCCCAGGCCCCTGGAGAGTGATGGAGCGCATAAATGACACTGAGATAGCCTGGAGGAGCCCCATGAGCTACCAGTGATGAAAACAGAAACTCCCATCCTAAGGATGGGAAGGCAGCTTTGATATCAAAACTGACAAGGATAGGGAGAGCATCTGGGGCATCTGGGGAGTGACCTGCTCTACGGCCTCAGAGTCTAGGGCCTCCCCAGCATTTTCGCGGAGACCCTCGCACGCCTTCTCTCCTCGGCGCTGCCCGATCCCGCAGTGCCACCGACCGAATATGTCCGACCGCTGGCAGGAATTAACCAGGTGCCTCTCGAAGAAGGCTCCAGCCATTCGCTGGGCCGTATATAAGACTTTGGCAGGAGCGTGGTGGACCAGCCACCGCTTTCCCTTCGGCCCGCGCCGCGCGTGTCTGCTCGGGTGCGATGCTTGCCCAGATCGTCTCGGCCATTACCTCACCTGCCTCCGCCTCCTTCACTTCCTCGCGTCACCTCGTTCCTTTCTCTCCTCGGACCCCCTCGTTCGCATCGGCCTAGGGACGCCTGGGCAACACGCCAACCCTGAGCACGCTATTTCAGAAGCCGTCCTTCGGACAGCGCCTTCAGTTCATTTCTATAACAAACTGCGTGACAGCACGCACGCCGCGCCTCGCGCCGCTCTTCCTTACACTACTGGCACTGGGTGCCGCGCCGCTGCGCTGCACGCGATGAGGCCGTAGCTTGAGGCGAACTGGAGCGGGAACGCTTGCCCTCTTCTCGCGTCTTGCACGCTTGCCCTCGTCTCTTCCTTTCTTGGTACGGTCGCTCCTCCTCCTCCTCCTCCTCCTCTTCCTCCTCCTCCTCCTCCTCCTCCTCCTCCTCCTCCTCCTCCTCCTCCTCCACCGCATCCCTCCTCTCTACTCCCGCGCGGGCCCAGGCGGCAGTCGCGACGCCAGCTGCTGCACCCGCCGCGCAGCCAGGAGACGGCGCCCGCGGCGCGGCGAGTGAGTGGTCGTACGAGACGGACGACGAGTCGGTCGGAGGGGCCGCGGAGGCCCACGCCGTGGCGGGAGCTCAGAGGGTGCCCCCGGTGCCCCGCGCTGGAGGTGGGGCGGGAGCTGCGGCGGCAAGCGCGGCGGCTCCAATTGCCTGGGCTGGAGTGGCACTCGAGGGCACCCGCGCCGCCGCCGGCGCCGATGGCCCCAAGGTGGACCGGCGGGGCCGCGAACGCCCCGGGGCTCCGCAGAAGACACCCCGATTATTCCGACGCCGTGCTTGTTTCGCAACGTGGTCCCCCAGAGGTCTGGGCCCCTTGGGGCCAGTTTCTCACCCCGGGTCGTTTGTGGGCGGTCCCGGTGAGGGCGCCCGGAGGCCGAAAAATGGCTGGGCCGCAAGATGGTGCAAAGATGGGCCCTCCTGGCCTCGCGTGCGAGGGCGCCAAGCTACGCCGCACCTCGGCTCAGGACGGCCCTGGCCTGGCATGTCGGTGATGGGAGTATCCAGGTGCCCCTTGCTTCCTGCCAGGTCACTGACACGGGAACCACTCTGGGTTCAGGAGGGGCCCTGCCTTGCGGCCGTTCTTCGGATCTGGAACGGAGAACCTCTTGGTGGCCGAAGGTCGCCGTGGCCAGGACAGCTCCTGCGTTCCTTGTTCACCTTTGTGGTAGCACGATGGCTGCGCACCATGCCAGCGCCCAGGATGGCCCTGGCGGGCCGAAGTAGTTAGTAGAAGGTGCTCGGGGGATGGACAGCAGCTCGATCGCGCGAAGCGCCCCACAGGTCCCGGGCACGCTCGGCTGGTCCTCGAGCCCCGCCCTCGACAGCCCCAGAGGCCCCAACGGCGGCCCACAGAGAGGCCCTCGAGGAGCCCCCCTCCCGAAGTGCTTCCGAGATGTCCCCGTGTTCCAGTGAGGCCGTCGCGCTTCGCGGCCTGGGCCGGAGAGTTGTCGTCCTCCAGGGGGCCGCACGAGAGCGCGCAGTTCATCGCGGCTCGCGTTGCTCGGAGCGCGAAGTCACGGGACCCGGGGAAGCCCCCAAGATGGCGGAAGACGCCTCCCCGTGCTCCACCTCCTCCTCCTCCTCCTCCTCATCCTTCTCCTCCTCCTCCTCCTCCTCCTCCGCCTCCTCCTCCTCCTCCTCTTCCTCCTCCTCCTCCTCCTCCTCCTCCTCCTCCTCCTCCTCCTCCTACCTCCTCCTCCTCCTCCTCCTCCCTCCTCCTCCTCTCCTCCTCCTCCCTCCTCCTCCTCCTCCTCCTCCTCCTCCCCTCCTCCTCCTCCTCCTCCTCCTCCTCCTCCTCACTCCTCCTCCTCCTCCTCCTCCTCCTCCTCCTCTCTCCTCCTCCTCCTCCTCATCCTCCTCCTCCTCCTCTACTCAGCCCCGTTCGAGTTGGATGGTGGCCGCAGCCTGGTTCCTGGTCCATCCTCCTCCTCCTCCTCCTCCTCCTCCTCCTCCTCCTCCTCCTCCTCCTCCTCCTCCTCATCCTCATTCTCATCCTCATCCTCATCCTCATCCTCCTCCTCTTCCACCGCATCCCTCCTCTCTACTCCCGCGCGGGCCCAGGCGGCAGTCACGACGCCAGCTGCTGCACCCGCCGCGCAGCCAGGAGACGGCGCCCGCGGCGCGGCGAGTGAGTGGTCGTACGAGACGGACGACGAGTCTGTCGGAGGGGCCGCGGAGGCCCACGCCGTGGCGGGAGCTCAGAGGGTGTCCCCGGTGCCCTTCGCTGGAGGTGGGACGGGAGCTGCGGCAGCAAGCGCGGCGGCTCCAATCGCCCGGGCTGGAGTGGCCCTCGAGGGCACCCGCGCCGCCGGCGGCGACGATGGCCCCAAGGTGGACTGGCGGGGCCGCGAAAGCCCCGGGGCTCCGCAGAAGACGCTGTGCGTGTTTCGCAACGTGGTCCCCCAGAGGTCTGGGCCCCACCAGTTTCTTACCCTGGGTCGTTTGTGGGCGGTCCCGGGGCCCGGTGAGGGCGCCCGGAGGCCGAAAAATGACCCACAACCTTCCGTTGAGATGTTCCACCGCGCGAGGAGGTCTGGGCATCGCCTGGCCAGGGCCGCCATGGGCCGCCGGATGGTGCAAAGATGGGCCCTCCCGGCCTCGGCCGTGAGGGCGCCAAGCTACGCCGTACCGGGGCTCGGGACGGCCCTGGCCTGGCGTGTCGGTGATGGGAGTGTACAGGTGCCCCTTGCTTCCTGCCAGGTCACTGACATGGGAACCACTCTGGGTTCAGGAGGGGCCCTGCCTTGCGGGCCGTTCCTCGGATCTGGGTCGGAGAACCTCTTGGTGGCCGAAGGTCGCCGTGGCCAGGACAGCTCCTGCGTTCCTTGTTCACCCTTGTGGTAGCACGATGGCTGCACACCATGCCAGCGCCGAGGATGGCTCTGGCGGGCCGAGGTAATTAGTAGAAGGTGGTCGGGGGATGGCGCCGCATCGCCGATGCAAGGACAGCAGCTCGATCGCGCGAAGCGCCCCACAGGTCCAGGGGGCGCTCGGCTGGTCCTCGAGCCCCGCCCTCGACAGCCCCAGAGGCCCCAACGGCGGCCCACAGAGAGGCCCTCGAGGAGCCCCCCTCCCAAAGTGCTTCCGAGATGCCCCCGTGTTCCAGTGAGGCCCTCGCGCTTCGCGGCCTGGGCCGGAGAGTTGTCGTCCTCCAGGGGGCCGCGCGAGAGCGCGCAGATCATCGCGCCCGCGTTGCTCGGAGCGCGAAGGCGGGGGACCGGGGGAAGCCCCCAAGATGGCAGAAGACGCCTCCCCGTGCTCCACCTCCTCCTCCTCCTCCTCCTCCTCCTCCTCCTCCTCCTCCTCCGCCTCCTCCTCCTCCTCCTCTTCCTCCTCCTCCTCCTCCTATCCTCCTCCTCCTCCACCGCATCCCTCCTCTCTACTCCTGCTCGGGCCCAGGCGGCAGTCACGACGCCAGCTGCTGCACCCGCCGCGCAGCCAGGAGACGGCGCCCGCGGCGCGGCGAGTGAGGGGTCGTACGAGACGGACGACGAGTCGGTCGGAGGGGCCGCGGAGGCCCACGCCCTGGCGGGAGCTCAGAGGGTGCCCCCGGTGCCCCTCGCTGGAGGTGGGGCGGGAGCTGCGGCGGCAAGCGCGGCGGCTCCAATTGCCCGGGCTGGAGTGGCCCTCGAGGGCACCCGCGCCGCCGGCGGCGACGATGGCCCCAAGGTGGACCGGCGGGGCCGCGAAAGCCCCGGGGCTCCGCGGAAAGCACCCTGATTATTCCGACGCCGTGCTTGTTTCGCTACGTGGTCCCCCAGAGGTCTGGGCCCCACCAGTTTCTCACCCCGGGTCGTTTGTGGGCGGTCCCGGGGCCGGGTGAGGGCGCCCAGAGGCCGACAAATGACCCAAAACCTTCCGTTGAGATGTTCCACCGCGCGAGGAGGTCTGGGCATCGCCTGGCCAGGGCCGCCGTGGGCCGCAGGATGGTGCAAAGATGGGCCCTCCCGGCCTCGCGTGCGAGGGCGCCAAGCTACGCTGCACCTCGGCTCAGGACGGCCCTGGCCTGGCAGGTCGGTGATGGGAGTGTACAGGTTGGCCCAGCCTTGCTTCCTCCAGGTCACTGACATGAGACCACGCTTGGTTCAGACAGGGGGCGCCCTGCCTTGCGGGCCGTTCCTCGATCTGGGTCGGAGACTGCCTCTTGGTGGCGTCGATTAGGTCGCCGTGGCCTAGGACAGCTTCCTGCGTTCACTTGTTCCACTGGGCTTGTGGTAAGCACGATGGTGCACCCAATGCCAGCGCCGATGGAATGGCTCTGGCGGGCCAAGGTAAGTTGTAGTAAGGTGGTCGGGGGATGGCGCCGCATCGGCCGATGAATCACAGCACTCGAATCGCGCTAAGCGCCCCACAGGTCCAGGGGGCGCTCGGCTGGTCCTCGAGCCCTGCCCTCGACAGCCCCAGAGGCCCCAACGGCGGCCCACAGAGAGGCCCTCGAGGAGCCCCCCCCGCCCCAAGTGTTTCCCAGATGCCCCCGTGTTCCAGTGAGGCCCTCGCGCTTCGCGGCCTGGGCCGGAGAGTTGTCGTCCTCCAGGGGGCCGCACGAGAGCGCGCAGTTCATCGCGGCTCGCGTTGCTCGGAGCGCGAAGTCACGGGACCCGGGGAAGCCCCCAAGATGGCGGAAGACGCTTCCCCGTGCTCCTCCTCCTCCTCCTCCTCCTCCTCCTCCTCCTCCTCCTCCTCCTCCTCCTCCTCCTCCTCCTCCTCCTCCTCCACCGCATCCCTCCTCTCTACTCCCGCGCGGGCCCAGGCGGCAGTCACGACGCCAGCTGCTGCACCCGCCGCGCAGCCAGGAGACGGCGCCCGCGGCGCGGCGAGTGAGTGGTCGTACGAGACGGACGACGAGTCGGTCGGAGGGGCCGCGGAGGCCCACGCCGTGGCGGGAGCTCAGAGGGTGCCCCCGGTGCCCCTCGCTGGAGGTGGGGCGGGAGCTGCGGCGGCAAGCGCGGCGGCTCCAATCGCCCGGGCTGGAGTGGCCCTCGAGGGCACCCGCGCCGCCGCTGGCGACGATGGCCCCAAGGTGGACCGGCGGGGCCGCGAAAGCCCCGGGGCTCCGCGGAAAGCACCCTGATTATTCCGACGCCGTGCTTGTTTCGCTACGTGGTCCCCCAGAGGTCTGGGCCCCACCAGTTTCTCACCCCGGGTCGTTTGTGGGCGGTCCCGGGGCCGGGTGAGGGCGCCCAGAGGCCGACAAATGACCCAAAACCTTCCGTTGAGATGTTCCACCGCGCGAGGAGGTCTGGGCATCGCCTGGCCAGGGCCGCCGTGGGCCGCAGGATGGTGCAAAGATGGGCCCTCCCGGCCTCGCGTGCGAGGGCGCCAAGCTACGCTGCACCTCGGCTCAGGACGGCCCTGGCCTGGCATGTCGGTGATGGGAGTGTACAGGTGCCCCTTGCTTCCTGCCAGGTCACTGACATGGGAACCACTCTGGGTTCAGGAGGGGCCCTGCCTTGCGGGCCGTTCCTCGGATCTGGGTCGGAGAACCTCTTGGTGGCCGAAGGTCGCCGTGGCCAGGACAGCTCCTGCGTTCCTTGTTCACCCTTGTGGTAGCACGATGGCTGCACACCATGCCAGCGCCGAGGATGGCTCTGGCGGGCCAAGATAGTTAGTAGAAGGTGGTCGGGGGATGGCGCCGCATCGCCGACGCAAGGACAGCAGCTCGATCGCGCGAGGCGCCCCACAGGTCCAGGGGGCGCTCGGCTGGTCCTCGAGCCCCGCCCTCGACAGCCCCAGAGGCCCCAACGGCGGCCCACAGAGAGGCCCTCGAGGAGCCCCCCCCCTCCCAAAGTGCTTCCCAGATGCCCCCGTGTTCCAGTGAGGCCCTCGCGCTTCGCGGCCTGGGCCGGAGAGTTGTCGTCCTCCAGGGGGCCGCGCGAGAGCGCGCAGTTCATCGCGGCTCGCGTTGTTCGGAGCGCGAAGTCACGGGACCGGGGGAAGCCCCCAAGATGGCAGAAGACGCCTCCCCGTACTCCTCTTCCTCCTCCTCCTCCTCCTCCTCCTCCTCCTCCTCCTCCTCCTCCTCCTCCTCCTCCTCCTCCTCCTCCTCCTCCTCTCTCAGCCCCCGCTCGAATCGGATGGTGGCCTCAGCCTGATTCCTGGTCCCTCCTCCTCCTCCTCCTCCTCCTCCTCCTCCTCCTCCTCCTTCTCCTCCTCCTCCTCCTCCTCCTCCTCCTCCTCCACCGCATCCCTCCTCTCTACTCCCGCGCGGGCCCAGGCGGCAGTCACGACACCAGCTGCTGCACCCGCCGCGCAGCCAGGAGACGGCGCCCGCGGCGCGGCGAGTGAGTGGTCGTACGAGACGGACGACGAGTCGGTCGGAGGGGCCGCGGAGGCCCACGCCGTGGCGGGAGCTCAGAGGGTGCCCCCGGTGCCCCTCGCTGGAGGTGGGGCGGGAGCTGCGGCGGCAAGCGCGGCGGCTCCAATCGCCCGGGCTGGAGTGGCACTCGAGGGCACCCGCGCCGCCGGCGGCGACGATGGCCCCAAGGTGGACCGGCGGGGCCGCGAAAGCCCCGGGGCTCCGCGGAAAGCACCCTGATTATTCCGACGCCGTGCTTGTTTCGCTACGTGGTCCCCCAGAGGTCTGGGCCCCACCAGTTTCTCACCCCGGGTCGTTTGTGGGCGGTCCCGGGGCCAGGTGAGGGCGCCCGGAGGCCGACAAATGACCCAAAACCTTCCGTTGAGATGTTCCACCGCGCGAGGAGGTCTGGGCATCGCCTGGCCAGGGCCGCCATGGGCCGCAGGATGGTGCAAAGATGGGCCGCCTGGCCTCGCCTGCGAGGGCGCCAAGCTACGTCGCACCTCGGCTCAGGACGGCCCTGTCCTGGCATGTCGGTGATGGGAGTATCCAGGTGGCCCTTGCCCATTGCTTCCTGCTTCCTACCTCCTACCCCCGCAGAGGATGGGGGATCGAGGATTTATGACGTCGCTTCGTCTTCCTGCATGCCTCAGGAGGCTCTTAGGTGGCCTGTGCCTCCAGAGACATTGGGCCGGCTGCGCGTGAGAGTGATCACTCGCCGGAGTGGCATCCGGTGCGGGTCCACAGGAGCTCCCCCAGAATCGGCCTGCGCGCTTGAATCTGACCCCCCCCTCGCGGCCCCCGAAAGCCGCGCACCAGGGGCCGCCCACGCCCAGCGTGAATGCGAGCAGACCTCCGGAGCCTCCCGAGGTCGGGCCGGACGAAGAGGGGGATAGGGAAAGGGGGGGGGTACGAAATTTGCTGCCTGCAGCTGGTTTCAGCCCCATCGATGGGCCCATTCCTCGATACACGGCCGCCTCCGGCGCCAGGAGGCGCCAGGAAAATCAGCTACGTGAGCTGATTCTCAACCCCCCCCTTTGCTATCCCCCCCTGTCGCCCAGCCCGATCTTGCGCCTGCGAAGGCCTCGGGAGGCCTGGGCCACTGGAGGCCTGCGGAGAGCTCCGCATGCCTCCGTGGCCACGTCCGCCGGCCTGGACTGCCAGAGCCGCCAGGTGGCCTCCCACCAGCGGAGTGGCTTCGGCTCCTGACCTTCAGGAGGGCTAAAAAATAGCACGCGACTTAAAAACCTATCCCAGAGCTATTCAACGTCTTGGTTTTAGGCTGTTTCGTATCGTTTTTTAGGTTTTTAGGTCTCCCGTGCTAAAAAATAGCTCTCTGGAAGGTCAGGGGCCACCACCCCCTGCGCTGACTGGGCCACCCTGCTGCCACCAGGCCTGGGACATCGGCACGAGCGAGCCCCCCCCCCTGACCTTCCAGAGAGCTATTTTTAGCACTGGAGACCCAAAAACCTAATTTGACGGAGTTTCTGTGGAACTCACGTCATCCTCACCCCCGGCGCGAAGAGCACGAGCCCAGAGCGGCCTCCGGCACCGTTTCCGGACAGATCCGCTGGATCCGCTGGATCCGCTGGATCCGGTGACGAATCCCAAACCGGCGCCCTCGCCTGAGACATCCTCACAAAACGGGCCCCGGGGGGGATGCCCAGAGGAGCCCAGAGCGGCCTCCGGCACCGTTTCCGGACGGATCCGCTGGATCCGCTGGATCCGGACGAATCCCAAACCGGCGCCCTCGCCTGAGACATCCTCACAAAACGGGCCCCGGGGGAGGTGCCCAGAGGAGCCCAGAGCGGCCTCCGGCACCGTTTCCGGACGGATCCGCTGGATCCGCTGGATCCGGTGACGAATCCCAAACCGGCGCCCTCGCCTGAGACATCCTCACAAAACGGGCCCCGGGGGGGATGCCCAGAGGAGCCCAGAGCGGCCTCCGGCACCGTTTCCGGACGATCCGCTGGATCCGCTGGATCCGGTGACGAATCCCAAACCGGCGCCCTCGCCTGAGACATCCTCACAAAACGGGCCCCGGGGGGGATGCCCAGAGGAGCCCAGAGCGGCCTCCGGCACCGTTTCCGGACGGATCCGCTGGATCCGCTGGATCCGGTGACGAATCCCAAACCGGCGCCCTCGCCTGAGACATCCTCACAAAACGGGCCCCGGGGGGGATGCCCAGAGGTGCCCAGAGCGGCCTCCGGCACCGTTTCCGGACAGATCCGCTGGATCCGCTGGATCCGGTGACGAATCCCAAACCGGCGCCCTCGCTTGAGACATCCTCACAAAACCGGCCCCGGGGGAGGTGCCCAGAGGAGCCCAGAGCGGCCTCCGGCACCGTTTCCGGACGGATCCGCTGGATCCGCTGGATCCGCTGGATCCGGTGACGAATCCCAAACCGGCGCCCTCGCTTGAGACATCCTCACAAAACCGGCCCCGGGGGAGGTGCCCAGAGGAGCCCAGAGCGGCCTCCGGCACCGTTTCCGGACGGATCCGCTGGATCCGCTGGATCCGGTGACGAATCCCAAACCGGCGCCCTCGCCTGAGACATCCTCACAAAACGGGCCCCGGGGGGGTGCCCAGAGGAGCCCAGAGCGGCCTCCGGCACCGTTTCCGGACGGATCCGCTGGATCCGCTGGATCCGGTGACGAATCCCAAACCGGCGCCCTCGCCTGAGACATCCTCACAAAACGGGCCCCGGGGGGGATGCCCAGAGGAGCCCAGAGCGGCCTCCGGCACCGTTTCCGGACGGATCCGCTGGATCCGCCGCTGGATCCGGTGACGAATCCCAAACCGGCGCCCTCGCCTGAGACATCCTCACAAAACGGGCCCCGGGGGGGATGCCCAGAGGAGCCCAGAGCGGCCTCCGGCACCGTTTCCGGACGGATCCGCTGGATCCGCTGGATCCGGTGACGAATCCCAAACCGGCGCCCTCGCCTGAGACATCCTCACAAAACGGGCCCCGGGGGGGATGCCCAGAGGAGCCCAGAGCGGCCTCCGGCACCGTTTCCGGACGGATCCGCTGGATCCGCTGGATCCGGTGACGAATCCCAAACCGGCGCCCTCGCCTGAGACATCCTCACAAAACGGGCCCCGGGGGGGATGCCCAGAGGAGCCCAGAGCGGCCTCCGGCACCGTTTCCGGACGGATCCGCTGGATCCGCTGGATCCGGTGACGAATCCCAAACCGGCGCCCTCGCCTGAGACATCCTCACAAAACGGGCCCCGGGGGGGATGCCCAGAGGAGCCCAGAGCGGCCTCCGGCACCGTTTCCGGACGGATCCGCTGGATCCGCTGGATCCGCCCGACGAATCCCAAACCGGCGCCCTCGCCTGAGACATCCTCACAAAACGGGCCCCGGGGGGGATGCCCAGAGGAGCCCAGAGCGGCCTCCGGCACCGTTTCCGGACGGATCCGCTGGATCCGCTGGATCCGCTGGATCCGGTGACGAATCCCAAACCGGCGCCCTCGCCTGAGACATCCTCACAAAACGGGCCCCGGGGGGGATGCCCAGAGGAGCCCAGAGCGGCCTCCGGCACCGTTTCCGGACGGATCCGCTGGATCCGCTGTGGTGACGAATCCCAAACCGGCGCCCTCGCCTGAGACATCCTCACAAAACGGGCCCCGGGGGGGATGCCCAGAGGAGCCCAGAGCGGCCTCCGGCACCGTTTCCGGACGGATCCGCTGGATCCGCTGGATCCGGTGACGAATCCCAAACCGGCGCCCTCGCCTGAGACATCCTCACAAAACGGGCCCCGGGGGGGATGCCCAGAGGAGCCCAGAGCGGCCTCCGGCACCGTTTCCGGACGGACGACCTGACTGCATAACACGCCTGGATATGCCGACGGGGGCGAAGGAGGAGGAGGAGGAGGAGGAGGAGGAGGAGGAGGAGGAGGAGGAGGAGGAGGAGGAGGAGGAGGAGGGGGCAGGCGAGGGAGCCCCGGCCCTGGGGGAGGGGCCCTGAGGGAACCCTGATGGGCTTCCGGCACCATGGAGAGGTCCTGTGGGGCGGCCGCCCCTTCTTCTCTCGGTCGTTTCCCTCTCGCCCAGAAGCGCGCGCCCCTTCTTTTATATATACAGAAACTCCCGATCAACCGCAGAGCGGCGGATGTTAAACTAAGCGAAACAGCCTAAAACCAAGACGTAGAATAGCTCTGGGATAGATTTTTTAGTCGCGTGCTATTTTTTAGCCCTCCTGGAAGGTCAGGGCCCGACGGTCCATTTCGGTCCGACCTCACATCGGCGTCGGCCGGCCCGATCCGATCCGACTCCGGCATTCCGGCGAGCCGATGCGGTCCGAGGTGTGCACGGCGCGGTTGCAAAAAAACCCAGGATTGCAAAAAAAAAAAAACAGGATTGCAAAAAAACACCAGGGTTGCAAAAACAAACCCAGTGTTGTTTTGCAATCCTTCGCTTTTTTGCAAAACCCAAGGTGTTTTTTGCAATACTTCGTGCAATCCAGGGTGTTTTTTGCAATCCTGGGTTTTTTTTGCAATCTTGTTGAGGCCGACCCGATGTGATTCCGATACCGTGCCGGAGCGGCTCGATTCGACGGAGTTCGACGCGCATCGATCTGATGCTGACCGCTGCTGCCCCCGCCCCCCACGGTCGCTCGGGCGTGTTGGTGCGAGGCAGGAGGCTTCGGAGGCACGTCGACTCCCCCCCTCGCACCTGGAGGTGTCAGCATGCCGCTGGCGGCCCTGCCCCGCCCTCCACCATGGCCTCTCCTCCTCCTCCTCCTCCTCCTCCTCCTCCTCCTCCTCCTCCTCCTCCTCCTCCTCCTCCTCCACCTCCCCCCGCCCTAGATCCCATCGCCTCCCCGTCACTCTTCTGTCGATCTCCCCTGCTGCTCTCCCCCTTCATCCTACGATATCTAGGCAGCTCACTTCGTGGATCTGACGGGTCACTCCTTGCTTCCAGTTCTTCGAGGTGTAGACCCGAGCCAATCTGAAATGGGCGCACGAGGGAAGCAGCTCCTGAGGGAAACGGCTCCGGGACCCCGGGGTTTTGCCCCATGCCGTCCTCATCCCGAGGTCTCTGCCCAGGGCTTCTGCCCAGACCAGCTCCTCCTCCGGTGCCCCGCCCTCTCGGACGGCCCCAACAGGCCCGCGGACGGGCCCGGGCCGCCCACCGCCACAATGTTCCCAAGACGATCCAAGGAGCATACAAGCGCTGAAGAGATATGCTGAGATATGCCAAGAGGCATTCAAGAAGCGTCTAATCATTCGGCTCGCCCTCCTTCTCCTCCTCCTCCAGACACGCAGCGCTGTGATTTGTCCAGCGCGCGGCCCCAGAGGTCCTCGTAGGCGATTCTTGTCTCCCCCACCCCTTGGGCTTGCCGACGAAAATGAGGCCGCTCAGAAAAAAAGGGAAGCCTGAAGTCGGGCACGTCCTTCTACAGAAGGAACACTCAAAAGTAGTACGGGGATTTGTTCGCAATGTTTGGATATGTTTGAGCATGTTTAGAGTACTTGTTAATTTCGTCCAAAAGCCGCCTGTAGGGGGACACTCGCAAGCTGGGCGGGGGCTGCTAAAACCGTGGCTGCTAAAACGGCCCTCCCGGAAGGGAAAAACAACTTCCCGGAATGAGGCGCGGCACGCGGCACAGTCAACGGGCTCCTTCCCGGAAGGACGAAGACAACTTCCCGGAGGTCGATTTTAGCAGCCACGGATTTAGCAGCCTTTGCCCGGCTTCTCAGACACGCCCGACCTAAGGAAAGCCCCGGGCTATACCTCCAGGGGGCCATTCGGACGCACCCCTGTCGAGGATGGACGCCCCCCCATCGCAAATCCCAGGGTTGGGTCCCATATTTCAAGTCCGTTCGACTCGACCACCCCACAAGGCCTGGGATAGAGGTCGACAGGTCTCCTGTCAAATTTAGGTCGGGCATGTCCTTCTACAGTCGGATTTCTTGGAGCAACATATAAACCAGGCAAAACATGTTCAAACAACATCAAAGATCATAGACAAAGCGTCCCCGTAACATTTTTGGATTATTGTTTGAACCTCCCTCCTGTGGAGGGACATGTCCGACCTTAGTGGGCCCCGGAAACGGCAGGGCCGTTTTTTCACCGTTTCCGAAAAAGTGTCCCTTGAAAATGGAAACGGCAAAAAAACGGCGACCGGAAACGGCAACAAACACGGCTCCAGGAGTGGAACCGGAGCGGGAACCCATAAAAAAGAACGGCGACGGAACCGGTAAAAAAATGGCGTCGGAACCGGCAACAAAAACGGCAAAACGGAACCGGTAAAAAAACGGCCTTGTCGTTTCCAGGGCCCACTTAAGGGCCAGGGACCATCGAGGAGCATCTTTCGGGCGGGGCCAGGACGAGGATAGGAAGCTCCAGGGCTCTATTGGCCTCCTAGATGAGGTCCGAGTGTAGATGGGGTCGCACGATCGCGCCGCATCGCCGATGCATCGACGATGCGGCTCGATGTGGAGCCCATGTTTCCCCCACGCCGACGTTACCGATGCATCGCCGACGTTGCCGATGCATCGCCGAGGCATCGCCGAAGCAGTGGCGATGCGGCGTGATGCTTCGACGCCATCTAATCGGACCCCATCTAGAATTAAGTCGGGCGTGTCCCCCTACAGGGGGATTTTCAACGAAAAATAAAAAACAAAATAGTCAAGAAATAGTCCAAACATTATCTGGGGACTATTTTTTGAATTGTGTTTTATCTTTTTTGCAAATGTTTGGGGTATTCTTGATTTGTCATCGAAAATCCCCGTGTAGGAGGACACGCCCGACATAAATCTAGAAGGCCTCTGAGAGCGTTCTGGAACGCTCTCAGAGCGTCCCGGAGACCTCTCTGAAGGTCGCGGCGCCCGAGGCAGCCTCCAGAGCCGCCGGACCTCCGAGGGCCCCGTTTCCTCCTCCACCGAGGCTGGCCTCGCCCCAGCTTCGTTCGCACGTTGGGCCAGCTTGCGAAAGACATGCGCGCGGGAAGCCGAGCAAGTGCAAGGGTTGTGAAGGACGACCCATGGAGAGAGGAAGCATGTTGCCAACTTGTTTACAGGTGTCCAGAACATGTGTCAAACCTGAGCTAAAGGTGTAAAAACAGGTTCTAAGCATTTCCAGGGCAGCTTCCGACATTCAGAGCACACTTTCAGTTCGACGATAGGACTGTCAGGGTGTCCATTGTCGTGGCATCCGCGATGCAAGGGGGGATGGGCCTCCGAGCGAGGGCGAGCCGTGGCGGCCCATGCAGGGCCCCCCCTGCCCCCCCCCCGCCCCCCGCAGGGCGGCGCCGGCCCTGCCTCGCCCGCCGGCCTGGAGGAGCTGCTGGTGCCACAGGGCGTCCGGAGGCGGGGGACGGATCGACTACACTTAGAAGTAAAAATACCCCAAAAGTAGTCCAAAAATAATCCAAAAATAGTCTGGGGACTATTTTTTTAGTATTTTGTTTGCCTTTTGGAGGGATTTTTTGGTGTATTTTTTATTTTTCGTCGAAAACCCCCCTGTAGGGGGACAGGCCCGACTTAACACGGGTCTGGCAAGTGACGGAAGTGGCGACGAGGGGAACGGGGAGGAGGAGGGGAGGAGTCAACGGAGAAAAAAGCTCCGAAGCACGGAGGGCTGAAACCGAGTACAGTGCGGTGAATAAGGCCCAAGTTGGCTATATCTCACGTAAGAGTGACCTGCCGCCGGAGCGATCTTTGGTGCGGGCCCCATGGCATCCCCCGACCGCTGCCCGCGAAGCGTCAGCAGCGGCTTGCGCGCCTGGGTCTGGCCCCATTCGCGTCCCCCGTTGAGTCGCGCGCCCATTGTCACTCTTGCACAGGGCCACTCTTACCCCAACAGTGACACGTCGATTAGTGAATTGTCCGTTTTCGGTTCTCGAGAGGGCGCCGTGGCCGTTATTTTCCAGGCTTGCGCCCGCCAGGTTTGGGCCTCAGGTCATTTTCACTAAACAACGTCTTACTAAAGGGGGGTCTGTCCATCCCCGACTTACGCGTAGCCGAACGGAGGGTGCCTTGACGGCGGCCAGGGTGCGGTACCGGGCGGCCTCGTTGTGTGTACAAGCTCGCCCCAGCCGCAGACCCCTTCGAGCACTACGACGACAAACATCACAGCGGGAGGTGTTTCGCCATGTTCGGCCTCTGGGGGCCCTTCCGGGGCCTCGGGACCGTCAAGAAACGACTCGGGATGAGAAACGGGCCCCGGTGAATACGGTAGGTTCACGAGGCGTTGGCGCGCCGGCGACGCCGGCGAAGGCTCTCAAAGTTGAGTTCCGCGACGCAGAGGCACCGATGGACACTGTGACGCCTCGGGGCCCGATTGAATTCAACCTTGGACGTGCAGGGGCTCGATCGATTCAAGGTTGAATCCTCTGGGGGTCGACGTTATGACAAAATCATTACGTCGGGGGTTTGGGATAGGCGGCGCTGTTCCCCGATCAGTGGACTCCGTGGATCAAGTGTTAAATCGGGCACGTCCATCTACAGGAGGAACATTCAAAAAAATAGTTGTTTTTCCCAACCCTCCTGCGTTGGGTTCTCGTTTTGAATAGAGCACTGCTCGCGCGAACCTTCTTTCATTCCTTCCCGCCCCCTCCCGCCCCTCTCTTCCCCCTTTCCTTTCGCCTCGCTCGTCGCCATCCCTGGGGGGCTGCAATCTGCGAAACTGTCGCCACTTTCGAGGCCTGCTGGGGGGCCCAGCACAGTCTGCACTCGCGGCGGATTCAAATAAGACCTCGCCATCCCTGGGGGGCTGCGATCTGCGAAATTGTCGCCACTTTCCAGGGCTGCTGGGGGGCCCAGCGCAGTCTGCACTCGCGGCGGATTCAAATTAGACTTCGCCATCCCTGGGGGACTGCGATCTGCGAATTTGTCGCCACTTTCGAGGGCTGCTGGGGGGCCCAGCACAGTCTGCACCCGCGGCGGACTCAAATGGGACCTCGCCATCCCTGGGGGGCTGCGATCTGCGAAACTGTCGCCACTTTCGAGGCCTGCTGGGGGGCCCAGCACAGTCTCAAATGGGACCTCGCCACCCAGCACAGTCTGCACCCGCGGCGGACTCAAATGGGACCTCGCCATCCCTGGGGGGCTGCGATCTGTGAAACTGTCGCCACTTTCGAGGCCTGCTGGGGGGCCCAGCACAGTGTGCACCCGCGGCGGATTCAAATGGGACCTCGCCATCCCTGGGGGGCTGCGATCTGTGAAACTGTCGCCACTTTCGCGGCCTGCTGGGGGGCCCAGCACAGTGGGTACACACGGCGGACTCAAATTTGACCTCGCCATCCTGGGGGGCTGCGATCTGCGAAACTGTCGCCACTTTCGAGGGCTGCTGGGGGGCCCAGCACAGTGGGTACCCACGGCGGACTCAAATGGGACCTCGCCATCCCTGGGGGGCTGCGATCTGTGAAACTGTCGCCACTTTCGAGGCCTGCTGGGGGGCCCAGCACAGTGGGACCCCGCCATCCCTGGGGGGCTGCGATCTGTGAAACTGTCGCCACTTTCGAGGCCTGCTGGGGGGCCCAGCACAGTGGGCACCCACGGCGTATTCAAATGGGACCTCGCCATCCCTGGGGGGCTGCGATCTGTGAAACTGTCGCCACTTTCGCGGCCTGCTGGGGGGCCGAGCACAGTGACGCCACACGCATATTCAAATTAGACCTCGCCGTCCCTGGGGGGTTGCGATCTGTGAAACTGTCGCCACTTTCGAGGCCTGCTTGCGGGGCCCAGCACAGTGACGCCTCCCAAGTAGCTTACACATCAAGTTGATTGTCCATACAAGTTTCGGCCAACTCCTCGTTTCCATTGATACAAATGGGTTGGGTACGTCACAGGGTAATTAAAAAAATGGGGACGATTCTACATATATATATATATATGTATTTATATACAGTTGGGCATTGTTTGAAAATGTTTTGACTATATTTTATTTGTCGTGCAAGCTCTGCCTGTATACATGCCCGACCGAACGCCGGATCCACAGATCCGTTCAGTCAGCCCGCACAGTCAGGATGGGCAACCTTCCCAAGGGTATCTTCTTGCATCCTTGCTTCCTCGGTCCATCTTGCGCCATGACCGCGCCCCGCTCGACTAACTTCGAAGTGGGCGTCCAGGGCCCTGGCATCCTTATCGCGCATCCTTCTCATACAGGCCGCCTGTCATCCATATCAGCGTGTGCCCGAGCACCGTGACCTGAGAGCGCGAAGAACTGCTGAGAATCCGACCCCAGGAAGCCCATGGCACGGGCGGGGGGCGCACCTTGCCGGCGGCCAGGAAGCTCAAAGCCGTGACTCTTCGAGCTTTCCGCAGCGAAGCAGCCAGAAGCTGAGTGATGCCTCCTGGAGCTCTTTGATGCGGTCAGCTTTGTGGAATTCGGACGCAGGGTGGAGCCAGCTGGCGAATTTCTGACAAGGGAGATATCGGGGGCGGACAGAACCCCCAACAGTGACACGTCGATTAGTGAATTGTCCGTTTTCGGTTCTCGAGAGGGCGCCGCGGCCGTTATTTTCCAGGCTTGCGCCCGCAAGGTTTGAGCCTCAGGTCGTTTTCACTAAACCACGTTTTACTAAAGGGAGGTATGTCCATCCCCGAAGATAGTAGCATCCGCGGGCTGGCTGGGGCCCAGGACCGGGGCCCGGGCCCACATGCCCGACGCTGGGGTTTTGGCTCGCTCTCGACGCGTCTCGCTCGATCGGCCTCCGCGGCAGGCCGTCCGGCCCTGGGGCGATCCAGCGAGCGGTCACCAGCCTCGAACTTGTCCCTGTCCCTAAGATTGGCACGCCACAAGGAGATGACAATCTTAGGGATGCACCCTCCGAAGCCGAGGAAATCCCTAAGATCGCCATCGTGATGAGGCGATACCCAACATAGGGATAGGGATATGTTCCAGGCTGGTAAAAAAAGGGGTATGGGCTCAGTTGCCTCGATGCGCGCGTTCTGAAACGCAACACGTCCCGTGTTCAAGACTTCCGTATCAATACGTTGCGTGCTGGCTCCACGTATTGGACCGCGTTTGGGCAAATGTATCGCGTCGGGCCTACGTTTTCAGCCTACGTGTTGAGCTCCGTATCAATACGATGCGTGCTGCGTGTTGCGTATCGGGGCAGCTAAGGGTATGAGCCGAAAGCTCACCCCTCCCAGGAAGCGGTCGGGACTTTCCCGGGACTGCGAATTGAAAACTCAGGAGGGGAAAAACACACAGACACAATTAATCGTCGACCCCCCAGAGAATATGGGAAAATATGGGAAGTGGGGGGGAAGACAAGAACCCAGAAAATATTTGAAAATATGGCGATTCTTTTTATTTGTGTGTATTTATTTGTGTGTCCCAGGGCCCCTTCAGAATTGAAACACGCACATCGGCGGAGGTCGGGGGCTGAATCGTCCCAGGTCGCTCCGGAACGCGCTCGGAGCGACCTGGAGCGCTCTGGAACGGCCGCGGCGCCCGATGTACATCCCCCAGGGCCGTTGCATTTTAGATTGATGTCGGACCTGTCCCTCTACAGGAGGAATATTCAATTATCCCAGTGCGACCCTACCTAGGAGTTGGAGGATCTAGGAAAACAACATCTATATGAAGCTAAGCTTAGCTAAGATGAAGCTAAGCTAAGATGAAATAAGCTAAGCTAAGATGAGATAAGCAACGCGAAGCTAAGGGAACGTCACTTGGGTAACCGTGGGGCGGATGCCCGGGGAACCGCCCGGGGCGGGCCCCACTGCCCGGCCCTTTAAGCTACGGAGTAAAAACCCTTCTAGGCAGAGCTTAGGTAGGGGAAAATAGTTTAACAAATAATATGGGGACGTTCTTTTGCATGTGCTGTGCCATGTTTGGTGGCATTTTGTTTATATTCTCCTCTCGCCGAAGATCCCCCTGTAGGGAGACACGCCCGACCTAATTTTGGAGTTCTCCCCCAGTGTGTCCGGTGCTCCCCCGGTCCCGGCCCCGTCTTCCAGCAGGGCTTTCCGGGGCCCCGGAAACAAGGACCGCCGCTGCAGGCCAGGGTCCTGCGAGTGACCGCCGGGGAGACCACGAGCAGAGGTGAGAGTGTGCCGGCCTGCGGCCGCTGTTTTCGCAGAGGCGCCAGCGTCGTTCGCCGAGCGCGTTCCATTACTCGCAAAGCGCCTACTCGCAAACGTCCAAAATAAACACGTGCCTGCTCTGATACAATTTGTCGCAGATCCTCCGCGGGGGATCCAGGCCATTTGTCTGTACGGACGACATGGGCACGGAAAGCATGGGCACAATGCCCAACAGCGGATCTTGTTCATTTTGAACAGGAATCGCTGTCCACGCCGCCGCGGCCTGTGTCCATTCGAGACAGAAGGCCGCCTGCCCAACAGCGGCCGCTGTT